ATTTTCATTATGAAATGATGATTGAAAACTATTTTTTGAAAACTCCCCAAAGCCATGAAGAGTAGCGAGCTCAAGATTACAGAGACAATAGACCTGAGAAATGAGTGTGATCAGGAGGATATAAAGGAAAACAAGTTCCCTACTGTTGCTTACCAACACGTGTTTTTTTTTCCTATGCACTTCAGGTGCAAGCGTGAATACTCATAACTACAGGAAAACCACGTTGAAACAGAAACACAATCATGATGGATGTTCCACCGCCAAATGCTCTAGGAGTCTTAACGGAACCAACAACAGACTGCTAGTTTCTGAAAGAGATTTCGTGAAGGCAATGGCTTTGAGGTTTTCAAAGGAATAAGCCATTGTGAGCCTAAAAGACAGCCAAGGACTAGGTAACATTATCGAAACTGGTAGGTATGAGTTTGCGTCTCATCCAAGAGAATTGGCAGAGAGGTGTACCTATCGGTGGTAGAAAAAGAGACCTCCATCACACGGATAGGTGGCAAGAGTAAACAAAATGCAGGCCACATGGGCAGATGATGTACAAAAGAAAAAGAAAGCAAATGAAATCAGAGTCAGCCTGAAGATATTTCTACTAGAAACACCTAAGAGCCATCACCTCCTTTCCTATCACTGTTGTATCACCGTTCCCTGGGAGAAGAAGCTGACCTTCACCACACCTCAAACATGTTTCAGGGAGTTGCAGAGAGTGATAAGGTCTCCCTTGGAGCCTTATCTTCTCCAGACTCAACAATCCTAGCTCCCTCAGCCACTCCCCCAAACGACTTGGATTCCAGACCATTCTCCACCTTCGTTGCCCCTCTCCGGACACATTCCATGGCCTCAAGGTCTTCCTTGGAGTGAGTGGCCCAAAACTGGACGCAGAGCTCATGTTGTGGCCTCACCAGGCAGACAATCACCTCCTTAGTCCTCTTGCATGATCTTTGAACTCTCTGATATGTACTATCTTTGTGTCTTTGTATACTTGGTTGTGAATTATTCAGGCCCCTCTATGAATTCTGTGAAAAGCATCATCATAAACTGCTAGCAAAGAAATCAGTACGGCATAAAACTGCACTGTGATTAAACTAGAAACCTGGAATCAGATACATGGATCATCTAAAAGTAATGGTTCCTATTTATTTATTTATTTCCACGGGAACGAAAACTGATACAAAGGGCACAATAACAGAGTTTGATAGAGAAAGTTCTCAGCTACAAAGCCTTTTTTTTTTTTCAACATAATCACTGTCATCAGCCAATTTATGCAGACGAGCTGCTTGAGACACTCTTTATTTCACGGTGTGACAGCTGTGCATGGCCATCCAGAAGGTGGCTTGCTTTTCACATTGCTGTTGCCACTGTTGAAATGCACTCCGTGTGCTCACATCCACTGTTTGGTCTCCATAAACGTTCAGCAAGTGTTGAGGAATAGTAATGGATGCCATTTTTTCCCTGCTGTGGAATTCAAATCCAAACCTTTGCTTCATAGATACTTCCACGTCACGCACCACTTTGTCACACTTGCACCTCTGCTGCCGTCAAGATGGCCACAAAGTGTAATGAAATAGGAACAGAAAGGTTCCACTTCTACCGCCGAACCAGAAACACCCACTTCTGAAACCGTGAGCAAACATAATAGAACAGGAGGCATTAATTTCAGTGCAGCTCTTGTACAACGTATGAATAAATACAAAATTTTGGTATTCCAGAATTATTTTGATAAAACATAATGCTCATCAGTTATGAATTTTTGTCCAAATTAAAAAAGACTACAAGTTGCCATTATGCCTCTCATTAGTGCCACATAGCTTACAGGTGTGTCCTTAGTGCCACATAGCTTACAAGATGCCTGCCTTCTGCATGGGCTCCAACAGGGGTGATGGCAGTGACCACACCATTTCATCTCGTCTCTACTGCGACGAAAGAACAACCTGTGCTATCCTATTGGTTGGTTTCACCCCAGGAAATTCAGCAAAATCTCATCTTTGTCTTTTGTAGTGAATTCCACCAGAGTGGGACTCATGGTGGCTATACAAGCCAGTAAAAAAGGCGTTGCAGTTTCTTGTCACAGGCTACAGCTTTCTAATATGCCAGCAACACATGGCTCTGAGCTTGCTTAGGCCTGCCTGGAGACTTATTTGAGCTTCTTTAGCTGTTGACAGCAATTGTCTAATCACCAAGCCAGTAGTACTTGCTTTTTCTTTACCTGGCTTGAAACAAGCTCATGCTCTGACACCTAATGTATAATTGCAGCTATTGGATATTGTCCTGCTATGTGTACCTGCCGAGGTGCATTTAAGAAAGACTACAGCACAAACACAGCGGAATCTGCCCAGGCAGAATATCAAAGACAGGAGGGGCTTGTGCAAATACATATGCAGTAAAAGGAAGGCTAGGGTGAATGTGCAGCCCCAGTAGAATGGGGCAGGGCAGGCATTAAGGGCATGGAGGGCATGGAGGGCATGGAGCCTCCTGTGCTGCATGTGATCATCCAAAACAAGATTTGAGAAAATCGTGAAGAGCTCAGAACCACGATGTGACTCCATCAGAGCAAAGACAGAGAGGTCATGGACAGCTCTGGGCAAGAAACTGTGGGGGGGACCAGGCACTGTGCAAGACACCAATGAAAGAAAGTGCCACGCATTTGTGAGAAAAGTGGTGTTTCATGAGGGAAAATATTGAGGGTACAAATGGTATTTCTGTGATCAAATGCCAAAAGTCTGGGAGTGAGTGTCATGATGAGGAGTGTAATGCAGTCTGTTTGGGAGGAAATGGGAGGTATTTCTAAGAGCACTCTATTTTTCTGGGAGAGAATGTCCTATTCAGGGCAGAAAAGTGGTATTTCTTACCAAAAACGCCATCCAGTTGGGAGACAATCTCCTATATGTGGGAGAAGAGTAGTATTTCTGTGAGAAAATGTCCTATTCTTGGTTGCAAGTGCAAAATGTGGTCTTGTCCTCTGATATTTTGGGGAGAAAACCTGTGGTAGTTGTAAGAAAATGGGAGAATATTTTCTGGGAGAAAATATCCTATTTTTGGAAGAAAAGGTCAGCTTTGCAACTGAAATGTGGTATTTCTGTGAGAAAATGACCTACTTGTTGGAGCAAAGGGGGAAATTCTGGGAGGGAATGTCTTCTATTTGAGAGCAACTGTCTTCTTTTTGGAGTGCAAACCGGTCCTTTGGGGAGAAAATAGGGTCTATATGGGAGAAAATGTCCTCTTGAGGAGTGTAAAGTAGTCCTTTTGAGAGAAAATGGAAGGTATTTCTCAGAAAACTGCAATTTCTGGGAGAAGACAGCATGCTTTGTTGGAAAATGACATCTATTTGTGAGAAAGCTGGGATCTGGGGGAGAAAATGCCGCATTTTAAAAAATAAGCTGGTATTTCCGGGGGAATATGTCCCATCTTTGTTAGAAAACTGGAATATCTGTGATCAAATGTCATTTTGATGGGAGTGAACATGATATTGAGGAGTGTAAAGTAGTGCTCTTGGGATGAAATGTGAGGAATTTCTAAGGGTACTGGTATTCCTGGGAGAAAATGTCTTATCTTGGGGGGGGAAGGTTCCTATGTCTGTGAGAGAACTGTGTTTCCGGGAGAAACTGTCTTCTTTAGGCAGAAAAGATCACATATTTGCGAGAAAGCTGGTATTTCTGGGAGGAAATATCATGTTTTTGTTGGAAAATGTCACATTTGCTACTGTCATGTAGTATTTTGTGGATGAAACATGAAGTATACCTAAGAAAACCTGTATTTCTGGTAGAAAACGTCATCCCTTTGGGGAGAAGACTGGTATTTCAGGGAGAAAAGATCCTTGTTTGGGGAGAAAGTGTCCTATTTTTGATGGAAAAGTAGTACTTGTGGGAGAAAATGCCATGTATTTGGGTGAAGGGTGGGATTTCTGGGAGGAAATACCGTATGTTTGGAAGAAAGTGTCCTCTTTCAGGTTGAAATGTGATACTTGTGGTCGAAACTGTCCTATGTTTGGGCGAAAACTGGCATTTCTGGGAGAAAATGTCATCTTTTGGGGAGAAGATGTCACCTTGAGGATTGTCGTATTGCCATATTGTTTGGAGAAGGCCTGAGGTATTTCTAAGAAAAGTGGTATTCCCAGGAGACAGTATCATATTTTGGGGGAGTGGGGGAGGGGTCATCATCTATGTGGGAGAAAGCTGGTATTTCTGGGAGAAAACATCCTCTATTGAAGAGCCAAGGGGTATTTCTGGCAGGAAATGTCCCACATTTGGGAGTCAAGTGGCATTTCTGTGATAAATGCCGTATTGTTGGGAGTAAGTGTCATATGAAGGTGTGCAAAGTAGTCTACTAGGGAGGAAATTGGAGCTATTCCTTTGAAAGCTGGTATTTCAGGGAGAAAACGTCTTCTTTCTGGGGGGCAATGTCATCTGTTTGAGAGAATGCCGATAAGTCTGGAAGAAGATCTCTTTTTGGAGGAAACTGTAATATTAGGGAGAGAAAAGTGGTATTGCTGGTCCAAGATGTCATCAAGTTGGGATGACGCTGGTGTTTCTGGGAGAAAATATCCAAAATATTTTGGATGAAAATGTGGTCTTTAGGGTTGAAATGCGGTATTTCTGGGAGGAAATGGAATATGCATGAGAGAAAACTGTTCCTTTGGGGAGAATGTATCCTATTTTTGGCGGAAAATGTCCTATTGAACAGTTTAAGCCTGCATTTTTTGGAGAAAATGTAAGTTATTATCAAGGAAACTGGTATTTCTTGGAGATTATCACATATTTGGTTGGAAAACGTGGTATATTTGAGAGAATGCTAGTATTTCTGGGAGAGCGTAGCATATATTTTTAAGAGAACATGGAGTACTGAGAGGAAATGTCATCGTTTTTTGGTGAAAAAAAAACATATTTAGGGGAATAGAATCGTGTTTCTGGAAGAAAAAGTGAGAAAACTGGTATTTCTGGGAGAAAATGTCATATATGAGGGAGAAGAACGGTATTTCTGTGAATGAATGCCAGCGAGAATTTCTGCATTTTTCTTTTTCTTTTTCTTTCCATGCATGATTTGGATCAAACTTGCCAAAGATATCAGAAACTCCAAGAAACTGAGCCAGATGCAAAACTTGATAACCTGAATGCATTGCAACTCAAACCTCTTTCTACTAAGCCTTCTTCAGACAGTATGAATTCCAAGAAGGTTGCCTGAAACTTATCAGTTGAGGAGCTGCCTACTGATGCAATGAGGAAAGTAGAACAAAACTACATGCTTGATTGAGACTGTACTCAATCTGTCAATCTTACAGCCTCACAGCACATCTACAAGACTATCTGCAAGATGAAAAAACAGCCAAACCAAAACAAAGATACATTTAGTCTTTCCTCAGGTAAGAACCAGTAGTAGGTCGGTAGGTAAGACTGTAAGAACAAGTTAGATGGATAGTAATACTTCTCCATGATATTTCAATATATTTACATGAGATTTTCATTCATACATAGGTTAAGAATTTCCTGAGACAAAAGTTTCCCGGATATTTATTCCACTGCTTTCCCTCCTTCTCCTTCAAGAAATTCCCCAATTTAATTGCATTCAGGATGAGGAGCCACCTCTTATTTATTCCAAAGCTGTCACTTTCTAGTTATTTCATAGCTACCATTGTCTAGTTTTATTTGACATACCACAGTTCTGGTGTTGGAAAATACAGTGAACCATAATTTCCTATTGATCTTTTCTAAATTATTTGTATTTTAAATAGAGCTCTATAATATTGCATTTAAACCATGTATTTTGCAAGCTGAAAAGTCCTTTATTAACTGCTTGTGAAGACATCCTGTAGGGAACTTGCTTTATCAGGGGGCTTGGAGCAGATGAGCTCCAGAAGTCCCTTTTCAAACCCTACCATTCTGTAATTTTATAATTCTTTGGCCTTTATTCATTCCAGTTTTTTGGTGTTTTTTGTTTGCTTGTTTTTTATCGGTGTTATTTCCAGTTCTATTATGTCTTTCTGGAGTGGAGATCAGAAATCCAGGCATTGTATTCAAAAGGGATGGGATCCATCTTGAGTTAGTTAAGTCACCTAAAGATGTTTTTATCCTTATTACTCTACTAATTATTCAGAATAATTCAACTACGTTTCTGACATGATAGAGCACAGAGTGGATATTTTCATGGAATTACCTAAAGTAAGCCAAGACCACATTTCCCAGTAGTCATACTTAGCGTTTGGTCCTTTATAATTCATGCCAAGACAGGCTGTCTCCCTTTGCCTTACTTCAGTTTTACTTACAATGAATTTCACCTGTTGCTTAGTTATCCGGCCTATTTCTTTATAATGGTTCCTGTAGATCTTGGCTCCAGTTTTCATTAGTCACAGAATCTAAATGCAAGGTGTAAGATCGTTTGTACTCCAAATAGATGACTCTATCGTTGCTTAAATTGTCATACACTGCAAATGCAAATAAATGTAACTGAAAATTTAATAGATAAAAGATGGAGGGCTAAGTTGAACTCATGTCTGTGGCAGAAAATTTGCATAGGTACAGATTGTTACCCTCTTCCTGTTTCCTTTCCAAGAGAAGAGAAATTGGAATATTGATGTGTTGTGAGAGTGACAGCATGTGTGCTGTTGCTGTCCAGGGAGAGTGAATCTCGCAGTGCTCAGATTCCTTCCAGTCCAGTGATTCCTCCACATGGAACAGTGTCAGACTTGAATAAAAAGGGGTTTTTGGTGGTAAGGAGAAATACAGGGAAGGGAAGGGAAGGGAAGGGAAGGGAAGGGAAGGGAAGGGAAGGGAAGGGAAGGGAAGGGAAGGGAAGGGAAGGGAAGGGAAGGGAAGGGAAGGGAAGGGAAGGGAAGGGAAGGGAAGGGAAGGGAAGGGAAGGGAAGGGAAGGGAAGGGAAGGGAAGGGAGCACTGAAGTAACAGTGGGAGAGCTAAATGAAAAAGAATACAAGGAAAACCAACATAGAATGTTTTAGCAGGGAGCAAATTTTGTTGTTGTAGAGGGAAAATTGCATAAAAGTAGGCACCAAAGCCAAGGTGCTTCTATCCACTGTGCTCATAAGAAAACATTCTTCTGTAAATGATTAAGGCCTCCCATTCAAGACATTTTACCTACACCCATAGTAAAGAGTAAAAGATTGCCATCCAGGTTGACAGAAAAAAATCATAATCCTTGCTATGCTTGAAGATGTGATAAAAAGGCCATTTCCATTGCTTCTTCTCTAGAAACCAAATGACAAACAAACAAAATGTCTCCAAGGAGGACATCTCTCTTGCCTCCAAAGTCTGAAAGATTCCCAAAGATAGCTGAGAGCTACATGATTGTCCAAACTGCCTTTCCACACTAAATTGCCTATATTTGCCTGTGAAATTATGGAAGGTCCTTTAAGCCATTTTTTTGTCAAATCAGGGATCTGCAAGGAAAAATAAATCTTACTAAATTTTGAAATTACCAATGTTATTGCAGGTCTTTAAAAGGTCAAAAGAACAGACATGAAAAAAAGCATTTCAAAGTGAATTCATCAACAAAAGCAGTGTGTGCTGGTGACAGTTGTGAAATACATGCGCATTTTTACTGAATCACTGGCCGTGATTCAGCAGTTCCCATACAATGTACAACCAAAAAAGTGATATGAATTACAACTTTTCTGGGCAGCCTGTTCCAGTTCTGCAGCCTGTTCACCACTCTCTCAATGAAATAGTTGCCTGACATCTAATATGAACCTCCCTTCTTTTAGTTTAAAACGGTTCCCCATTGCTCCATCACTGTTCATCCATGTGAAATTTGAATTCCACTCCTGCTAATAAGCTCCATTTAAGTATTGGAAGGCCACAACGAAGTCTGCCCTCAGCCTTTTCTTCTCCGAGTTGAAAAGCCAACCTCCCTCAGCCTTTCTTTGTAGGAGTGGTGCTCCATCCCTCTGACTGCCTTCATGGCCCTCCTCGGGACCCATTTCAAAAGCTCTACATCTTCTCTTTGTGGAGGGTTTCAGGCCTGAAGACAATATTCCAGATGGAACCTCACAAGGACAAAACAGGGGGAACAATCACCTTCCTTGCACTGCTGGCCATCTCTCCTTTGATGCAGCCCAGGATACTGTTGGCCTTCCAGGCCTTAAGTACGAATTGCTGGCTCAGGTTTTCTTTTCCATCTACCAGGACCCCTAAGTCCTTCTCAGTAGGGTTGCTCTCAAAGAGTTCTCCCAGTCTGTATGTGCGTCTGGGACTGCAACAGACCAAGTGCAACACTTCGCATTTGATCTTGCTGAACATCATGACTTTCTCGTGGGAAAAATTTTCAAGCCTGTTCAAATCCTTCCAGGTGGCATCGCTTTCTTCTGTTATATCACCTGTACCACTTAACTTGATGTTGTCTGCAAACTTGCTGAGGGTGCACTTGATCCCATCATCTATGTCTATTAATAAAGTTGTTAAAGAGCACTACTCCCAAGAGATACTACTGGAAGTCGCTACTCCTCACCAGCCTCCACCTGTTGACCACAACCCACAGGCTGTGACTTTTGAATCAATTCCTTATCCACCAAATGACAGCAAGGTGTGGAATTCGTAGCAAACGCTGAAGCAAAATGTGGTGTTCTTACTGCAGTAAGTGATGAGTTTGTAACCAGACGGGAAACCACTGGCAAAAGTGAGGAGGTTTGCTTTGTTAAACGTTTGCAATCTAGTACAGGAAAACAGGTAGGCATACACAGATTGTTGTACATGCCAAATTAATCCAAACCTTGGCTAGGCATGATTTACTAAAACAACAATGCCACAGCCCATATACAAAGGTCTGGGCTCTCAGCTGCAGAGGGCAGCAGTAACCTTCCCACTGAAATGTGGCAGGTCTCCCAGTAAAGAAATACGGGTGGACTGTGCATGCCCTTCAAGGCTCAAACAGGCTCAGAAGATCTTGAGAGGATCTTAAGTAAAATTGCACCCAAGTGAACTAGGAGAGCATGAGGGTTTCTGCCTCCAAGGAAACAGACACAACTTACATGCCCAATGCTTACACATTTTCTTACTCCTCTTGTCTGGCCACCTTGTGACAATACGCCCTGTTTAGTGTTTATTTCTTACATTTGTATTATTCGTTGAATAATAGCTTCCAGCATGTGCGCCCAAGCAGAGAGCAGTTATTGAGTGAGGTGGTCAGAAGGGCAGCAGCTCCTGGCTGGCCACATGCAGGGGTTTCTCAGCCATGTTTGCCAGCGAGGTGTGAGCACAGCTCCTGGGGGTAATTTTTGGTCACAGAGCCCTGCAGTGCCCGGAACAAAGCCAGCAGCCTGGCCCTACAGAGACCCATGCCAGGTGGGGCTGGGGCTGCAGCAGCCCTGCCTCTTCCCAGTCCTAGCAAACAGCAAGTCAGTCCAACAGCTCTGCTTGCAGGAGAACCCGAATTTACTTCAGGCACGTGGTCCTGGAATCTGGAAAACCCTGATGTCTCCAGGTGCAGGCAGTACTGGCAAGCATCGACATCAGATGGTTTATACACCTGAGCTGCCTAACAGGAAAGGAACGGTGCCATTGTGTGCCTAAACTGAGCCCATCAGGCAGTTGTAAGGTAGTTGAGTCCTCAGAGTCCAAAGTGAGTGGAAATTTGCTACCACACTCCATGAGTGGTTAAGGTAACTTAGTTTCAGCAAGTTTTGCATTAGTAATAATGGAAAAAAAAAAACACCCAAACAGTTATGATAGGTGCTGCAAAAGAAACTCCTCTTCATCTTTTGGATGGTGTATAATCAATAGATATCAAGATGTTATAATCACAATATAATTGTATAATCAATAGATATCAAGATGTTATAATCACAATACAATCAAGAGAGTTAGACAAAGTAGACAACAATCACAAAAAGAGAATAGGTGGAAGAGCTTACCCTTCAGCTGAGCTCACCACAAAACACCTAGAGAGGTGATCTCCAGAAGAGATCCTTCCCCTCTGGTAGCCAGCTCTTAAATAGGTCTAGAAGGGGTGGAGCCTGGCTCCACCCCTTCCAGCAGCACAGGTATTCACCTTCACCTGTGCTCCTCTGGCTGACTCATGGCTAGCCTCAGGTGATTAATCAGAGGTTCAGGCCGTGACTCAGCAGTTCCCATACAGATGGAAAGTCAATGACTGTGTGCAATTTCCCCTGTAAAGGTGCGGGGCCCTCTTCCACTCCACTGTTTCTGCTGTCTGGCACAACGGGAGAGCTGCTGTGGCCTCGTGTCCGTGCCTGTGCCTCCTCCAGGGTGAGCAGCTTTGTGGGAGGAAAAGAAACCCACAGGGACTCGGGCCACAATTAAGAACTGTGTCCTGTAAAGCAAAAGCACAGATCAGAGGAGGATCAGCAAGCAGCAGCACAGCCATCACAGCTCTGGGGGAGGTGCTGTGTTTTTCTAAGGCTTGGTTATCCTAGCTACTGCAGGATGATGTCAAAACAACCATTTTGTCACAGGTATGTTTATGGCAAAGGACAGACATACTCATAAGTGAGAGCAGCTTACTGTATTTAAGCAAGCAAACAAAACTCCTAAAAAGTGAGGACAAGTCAGTCAGAAACCTTCACTGCCATACTTGAATCAATCTTCGTCTGCATGCAAAATATTGTCATGATAACGACAGTTTTCTTCTTATGAGGTCTGGATTTGCTCTCAGCATCCAGCAACAGGAAACGCTGCACACGACTGCAGCAGCTGCAACCCAGCGTGCAGGTGGACACAGAGAACTGAATCTGGCCGTGCCTTGCTCTCGGCCTGCTTACAGCCTATGCTTGTTTTTGCAGACAAGCATTTAGATTTCTACCACAGTAGCCCACAGTGCCAGCTGCCAGGATCTCTGAAGCCTTTCAGTGTAGGGCAGTGCAGGTGAGCGTGAGGAGTCTGCTCTAAGAGCTGTCCCTGTTTGTCCTTTGTGTGCTCACAGGGGCTGCCTTGCCAGAGCAGTATTGCCAAGCTTAGCTGATCCTCTGTGACATCCCCTGACCCTTCTGCTTGTGGGAAAGCAGACAATGTGAACGTCTGAATCATTAAACAACTGGCCAAGGTGATATGCTCCGTTCTACAGCCTGGATCATCACATGGCTCAGGTGCTTTGCATGTCCATCTTTCCCTGGCAGAGCTCAGCCTGCTGTGGGCTGTTCCTGTTCAATCAAGCTTACCCCTGCATCCTGCTGACATAAAAACTGCCTTCGAGTAGGAACAAAAGCTGCACTTACAGCAACTGTGCTATAAAAAGAAGAGCAACACTTGTATCAAATGGCAAGCAGCAAGTATTCTGGAAAAGCAGTTATCTATACTCCACCAGTGGCAATAACTGCAGTGACTGCAAATCTCATTGGAAGGTCGGGGTACCAAAGCAGATGGAACAAACTTAGCGCTCCTTTGGAATAATAATTGTTTGTGCTCTTCACACTTACTTAACAAGCAGAGGAAACTTTCTTCCTGGTGCAACTCTCTTTCTTTCCACTGGACCAGGTACACTTATGGTCTTAGCAGTCACTCAAGGACAGCTGTAGGTTCCAGGGCTGAGCACAAACACCTTGCAGTTATTTCCTCACTCTTAGCACCTAAGCTGTGGCTCATCCTAAAGCCTCTGCTGTGCAGGCACAACTCTGCTGTGCAGGCAGAGAACTGGGCAACAGCTGCAGGGCCCGTGCAGTCTTTGTCATGCAGCTGGACAGCCCTGCTGATTAACTTACAGAGACTGTGCAGAAGAAACAACCAGGAAAGCAGCTGTCAGAATATCTCACATTAAGAGCAAGACTACTGTTTCTCAGCATCAATGCTAATGAATACCAAGAGCTTTCTTTAAATCTGCTGTTTGCCATTTGTCTTCTAAGATGCTTGTAAGGATCACGCATTGTGTTGTACTGCAAGACAGCTCAAGTGGGAAAGCACACAGAAGCATTGAAGAAAGTGATTTTAGAAAGAAAAGAGAGAGTAGGGAGAAAGATTTAAGTTACTCGGTGAAGCTTGTCAGTGTGTGGACCTAACAGCAGCAGCCAAACTTTCAGCTGTATGTTCTCGTAGAGCATCTCTGGCTTCCCAGAAAGATACTGGTAGCCACATTTGCCATATTCTTACATCAGTCCAGAAGTCTGTTGTCTCCTCAACAGTAAAAGCATATGTCAAGTATCTTGGTGAAGATCTGGATTTGATCAAGGTGTCTGATCAAGGTAAAGCTAATGGAGGAAGATGCTCACCTGCTCCATCTCCAAAGAACGGGCTGGATTTGGAGTGGAAGAGAACATCTGAGTGGTTCAAGATGAATTCCACAACGGCCGGCTGCATCTGCACCTCCATGAAGGCAGCTCTTCTGCTGATGCAGGCAGACTCACTCTGCTGTGACCTGAAGAAAAAACAGATGAAGTAAAACTGCCAACAGACAAAAGACTGGGAAGGCAACTCTGGCTGTGCAAAATATGTTGATTTTGGAGGGGAGGGTCTACAAAGGCTGCGTGTGTTTATTTTGAGGCTTCTTTTCAACACTGTTTGCAAGATGTCAAGCATGAGTCCACTTTGATGTTCTTTTCTTATCTGGCCTCACATCCTGCTTTCCTGCATTGCTATACAATGGGTAACCCTTATCTTGTCCCCTCTTAACTCACGCAAGCAGGAGAGCACGCAGAAAGCAGCTTACATCTTTTACGCCCTATAACTAGACACTTATCTCTTTCTCCCCTGGTTCCTCATTGGCTGAGTACTTCAGGTTCACAATCTTCCCGACGCTCAACTAAACCTATGGATACTGGATGAACATCAATTATTGCTGGCTAAGCATATATCGCTAATTAGTTAACTTCTCACACTTGCTCACTCAACACTCAGTCCTTGTTTCTGGACTTCTGCTCGTCCCTGCATAGAGATAAGCTTGGAAGGAGGACAAGGGGGAGTATCTTGATGCCTGCCTGTTGCATCCCAACCTACCCACAGAGCCAGGCAAGCCAGCCTTGCGTAGAGCCCCTGGCTTCTTTGATGTTTGTTAAGTCTGTTTTTCTTTTGCTGAGGGTGTCTTATCCAAACAAAATAGCCCTACAATATGATTTCTAGTCCATAATACTATACCTACACTATTTGGAACATTTAAGAGCTATTGCAGTTTTGCAAGCAAGAATTAATCACACAATTCAGCAACTGTATTTCTAAAGTAGGTTACTAACATATATGGTATTTCTACTTTTTCACATCAGCTATTTCTAAGGACAAGTTACTAAACACAAGTACATTGTGCTCTGCTTCTTCAGATCAATTCCCTCCTCTTAATCACAAGAAGAAGATCATTTCCAGGTTCATTCTCCCCAGCCCAGAGAAAGTAGGAGTGGCCTCACTCCTGCATTTTAGATGTCTGTGATTTCACTGATCTCATGCCTGATTTGCCCTATTTTCAGATTAGAATTAGTCACAGACTACAGCCAATCATAGAATCACAGGGGTTGGAAGGAACCTCTGGAGATCATACAGCCTAAGTCCCTGCTAAAGTTATCTATCTAATGCAGGAACAACATTCCATTCCTACAGCCTTTAGCAGGGATGTCTCTTGATGTCACACCTGCACAGGGATCCTTTCCACCTTGATGTCAAGACACCTTGCTGGTACGGATCCTTGGTAAGCAACTAATAGTTTGGTCTGAATTTGTCAGCTTCACTAAGGGTACATCTATCTATCTGTCTAGGATCCCTTAGACGCAAACTGTCTGGGACTAGGAGTGGATCCAGCCGTGCTGAGGAACCTTACCTCTGTGCACTGAAGAGTTCACACAGCAATGGGGTTGGCTCTGATCCTCATGACACAGCAGGAGAGCATCCTGTAGATGTGTGTGTTACCCTGTCCTCTCTGTGGATAATCACCCAAAGAGAAAAACCCAGTGAGGCCACGGGCTACTCATCTCCAGCATCACATCCCGTTCAGACGTAAATAATTCTCACCTCATTGACTCAGAGCTTCCCCTTTAAACTGAAATCGGTCGGGTCTGCTGTACAGAACTCCAAAAGGACTCAAGCATTCCTTACATCTTGATTTTACCCTCATCCTTGTTGGCTGCTACCCGTGTAAGTTCTCCTCCTGCTGAATTTCAGCCACGTGCTTTCATCTGGCGATTTCCACGTGACCCTTGTGCTCAACAGGCTGTGTGCAATTCCCAGCTGATGCCGACCGAGCTGCCGCAGCACTCACAGCACCGAGTGCCCTTTGTCCAACGGCATCGCAGCAGGCGCCCGAATCGAGATACGATGTCATTTCACAGTGCTTGTATACTCGCCCTGTTTGCGCTACAGGGAAAAGCCACCGACTGAGCTGAAGCAGCGTCTGCCAGCACCACGGCGTTCCCCGAGTTCTGAGAAATACATTTGCCATCGCCCTGCCTCCACTGTATTTTTTTACACTAATATTGGATCCCTTAATTTCAAGGACTCACGACTTCCCTGCACATGTGCAATATACGTAAATGAAGCATTTGCCAATTACCGAATTAGAAGAGTTTAGAACGTCAGGAGCTCCGTCCAGCCGCGGTGCAAACACGCCGCTTCCGCCCGGCAGCGTTCTCACATCCAACATGGCTCCTCGACGGCTTCACCCGCTCCTCAGCGCCACACCGCCGATCTGAACTTGCCATGCCCTTTCTCAAAATGGCTGCCGCCAGCTTCACCCCGCGGCCGCCTTGCCCGGATGACGGCCGGGTCGCGCGGTCACGTGACGGACGCGGAGGGCGGAGCGGTTCCAGGCGTCCGATTTGTCTGCTCCTCCTGGCCGTGCCGCGCGGTCGGCTCTCGTGGGGTCCGGGCCTCCCGGGGACGGTGCCGCTTACGTGCGGGGCCGGTGGGTGCGGGCGGGGAGGGAAAGCCGGGGGAGGAGGGAGGGAGAGCCGGGGGAGGGGAGAGCGAGCGTCCTCCGAGCGGCGTTCTGTACCGCAGTTCTTGTCCTCAGCCTAATTTCTCTCTCCTTTCCCTGGCCGAATTTCGGCGCCCCGTTAAGCGTCCTCCGGGGGGGGGCGGGGTTGGAGCTGATGGGCAGCCGGCGTCTGGGGGCTGTGCGGGTTCTTGTGGCGGTGATGCTGCAGCAACACGTCCTCCGCGCTCCCTTCGCTGAGCTGTGCCGCGTGTGCTCTGTGGCTGTGCTGAGGTTGCACGAAAGACATCGGTTGGTGCCTGCAGACTCGTGAAGGAAATTTACACTCGCGTTCCGAAGACGGTGCTCTCTTCCCCCTCCCCTTCTTCCCCCCCGACGTAGAAATGCGTCTATGATTTCTGTGAGCAATGTCTGAGAAGGAACTGAGGAGCTGAGAAGGATTTCAATTCGTGCTGCTTTTTTCCCCCGTACTCTCTCCCCCCTGCGCCACCACTTGGCCATTATCTGCTAATTGTACTTTCAACGGTGATTATTTTTCTCATGAACCTGAAGCTGTGAATGCTGAGGTGTCAAGACAGCTGTCCTTAACTGCTGTGAGAAAAATGTTGTGCAAGTTGTAGGGCATTTTTGAGTTACGTTCTCACCTTGGCCTACGCAGCTGAATTCAGGTATGGTTTAGATTGTGAAGATCTATTCAAAAAGGGGATGTTCTTAAGAGCTAGCACAGAAAACACAGGAGGAAAAGAACATAATGAAGTTAATCTAGCTGTGTGTTTCTTAGGGTCTCAGGTAGTGTGTCTGCAGTTACAAAGAATAGGTGTGAGGGTTTTGTTATCTGGGGTATCTCTACAACTTTCTGAGGCTCCAGTCTAAAAAACAGACTAGCAAACAGACTTTTACTTTTTCTCCCAATTGCTTTGGTTAGGAGGTGCAGCTGGAGGCTGTAACCCTCAGTTGCTCGTTTCATTCAATGTGCAGCTTTTGTGGTGATGCTTGCAGAGAATGTATTGGTTTTTCTTTATTAAGTTCTCAACACTGGGAATTGGCTCAGGAAGTGGATTTGCTGTCTTTTCCTTTCCTGTGGGTTTGTTTTGTCTGTTCTGTGGGGGGAAGGATGGTGGGCTGAGGGGAAGGAGGGAGGTTGCTTGTTGGATTGTTTTCCCTTGACTATTTTCCCTTTTCCCTGCAAAGAGAACATTCTCTTTGCATTGCAGGGTATTTTTATTTTTAGCCAGAAAACTGTTTGTTTCCTCACTGCTTGTCTCTGCATATGTAACAGCATTCAAGAAAATGGCTGTCATGTCGTCTGAACAGCTCAGAGCACCTGGGCAGCTCTTCCCATTTCCATGTTACTTCAGACTGTCCTGAGGTCACGTTCCTACTTTCCTCTTTTCTGCTCACTCACACTAAAAAACCTCAGCAAACAGCTCTACAGCTCCTGTAGTCAATTATTCCTTAGGGAGAAGCCCTTCTGTGCTTTCTCTTGCTGGTCTCTTTACTCTGTCTGCCACAGAACTGATGTTTTAAGATGTGCTTTAGTATAGTTCTGTAATCTTCTATGGGTAGAATTTGTTTTGGAAATGTGGTTACTTTACGTTGGAAATAATTTTTGTATGTGACATTAATTTTCTCGGACTAGAAATCACAGATTTTTTTTACTAAGATGCAATTATTTTCTTCTGATCTCTGTTCCATTTCATCTCAGCACACGCAGCATAGTTTACTCAGCCAGGCTGGTTGTACTTGTGAGTGGACGGATGCTTAAAGGAGGTGGAAGCTCTGCAGCTCTGACAGATGGCCCAGGAAGCCTTACTGTCATCAAAGCTGTGGTAATGTACATCAACAGAAGGGGAATAGACAAAGGAAATGTGCTGTTACAAAGAGCCAGCTTTGGTTTATGCTGTATCTGTGAGTATCCTGTACAGTGCTTTTGTAGCTGTGTTACCGAGACCAGAAGTCTTTTTTTCTACCTAAACTCATAAATGAACTTGAATTTGATTACACGCTGGAGGAGGAATTTGTGGTTTTTTTCTAACAGCAGTATTAAAAATACACAGAGTTTGTATAATAGCAATCATCACTGAGATAGTGGGATAAATAGTTGCGGGTTGATCCTGTGTTGCTTCTACATGTACAGGATGTTTTTCAAATGAAGATTGGCATCTGATAGATTCCAGCAATGTCTGTTCTTTCTGTTCCTTTCTTTATTCAAACACTTAATCGCTCTCAATCTGTCAGGCTTCCCCTGCCTCATTTCTGATCTTCGCCTCAGTGAGCAGCTTTCTACCTCAGAGTCTTTTGTAAGTATGCCTTGAATGCATTTGGTTGCTCTTGTAAATTGAGTTGCACTGCTGCTTGTGCATGCACACAAATTACGACCAGATACCGAGAATTCAGAACTGCTCGCCTCCAGTGCTGGAGGTTCTGTGCCTGACAAAGTCTCAAACATCCTGCTTTTCTTCTTACCATACGACACAGTGGTACAATGAATTTGTAAGGTTGGTACCTCCCAGTCTATTTGGTTTATCCTTGTGGTTTATTCCAAGGCTGCGTGCTCTGACATGCTGCTATGGTTTGAGTGTCGGAAGTGGTTGTGACCTTTCTGCTGGCATCAGTTCCTTCCCAGGGAATAACTACAGCTGACTGCAGTGTTGGTTTTGTTGTTCCATCCCCACAACAGATATTCTGAGAGTCTGTTTTTTTCTGTTCCTATTATTAGTATTACTGCATTATTAGGATGGTGGCTTATTGAGGTACGTAGATTGCTCTGAAAGGAATGCCTCCTATTTATTTCCACAGAAATGACAAGAGATACGTAAAGTGAATTCTCAGCTCTCTCAACAAAACTCTGTTTTTCAACATGGTCACCACCATTAACTATCCTTTTTTTTTTTTTTTTTTTTTTTTCCTTCCAGTGTTGAGCCTGCGTGCTGTACTTGTTTAAAAAGAAATAATAATTAAAATAAATCCGTTTGGCTGTCTGGGTGGCTCGCCTTGCATTGCTGTTGCCACTGCTGAAGCCTCACTGTGCTCACATCCACATGTTGGGCTTCATAAATATTCTGCAGGCATTGATGGATGTCAGTGGGTGCGATTTTTTCAGTGTGGAGGAGTTCAGGGACACCCTGTGCTCCATGAGCACTTCCATGTCAGGTGCTGTGCTGTCATTCTGGCCCTCTGCTGCCGTCTGCCGTATGGCTGCAAAATGTAACTGAATGCTGGCAGGAAGGTTCAACCTGTGATGTTGTGGGCCAGCTTTATAAAACAGGAGGCATTACTTTTGGATCAGCCTGTGTGCAATTATGAAAAATTAAGGTTTATAATGGCTGGCTGAGTAAATTGGTGGCTGCTAAATAGATCCACAACTCTAAAATAACAGTGGTTAGACACTGATAGTTTTCAAGGTCAGTTTAGATTATGTGGCTGTGTTGGGTTATTTTTTATTTAATGTTGTGTTTCATTGCAGTATTTCCTGAAAACTCCTCAGGTGTGGCACTCTGAATCTGCAAGCTCTGGTATTCTTGAGCAACTCCATCCTGTAGAGGTAAGTGGATTAGTTCTCATACTCAATTGTAAAACTGCTGTTAAGAATCGGTATTGCAAGAAAGAAGTCTTCTTTTGTTTTATAGTATGGAATTATAAAGTCAGAAGTAGAATCCTGTATGTGGAAGTAATGTAAGGTAAGTTGTACTTGTCTCTTCTGAGAGGAACTTTGGGGTCTTTGGTGTGCATTCATAAAGTGCTGATTAGTCTGGTGATGCAGATTGTTTTGGAGGTCTCAAACACTGCAGCCTTTTAGCGTGACAAAGCAGCTCCATCTTCGGGCCCACCTTACTGCCTTTTCATCCTGTGCACTGAATTGCAATGGCATGTCAGTATCAGATCCCTCAGCACTGTGCTGAGCCTCATCTTACTCATACTCACCCATTGGACGTTACTCAGCTTTAGCAATCGTGTTTCTGCTACAGAAGGGCTTGCCGGATATTTGTAGTATTGATCTGGCCCGAAGGTGACAACCTTCCAACCTGCTGGTCTCTGCCCATGTTCTCTGTCACAACATCAGATGTGTGTGCTCGCTGGATGCACTGATAAGAAATGTTTTTGAGAAGAGAACCTCGTGCTTCCCAGAGCAGTAAGACTGTGAGGATTTGGGAGGCTCTTCACAAACCTGGTTAGAGTGTGCTTTCCCAGACGGCGTGCTGTTAAAGCAGCCCTTCTCAAAAGCAGAGCGTTGTGCCTGGTGTGACTTAAATCCCACCCACAAAGGAGCATTCCCTGCAGTCTCTGATCTCAGGTGCGTGTTTCCCCCACTGCTGGAACTGCTGGACTTTCATGCCTTCACTGTATGTGTTTGGCTCTCTTTATTAGCTCTGTTTGTTCTACTAGCTGTATGCAAATGTATCGAGAGGTAGCCCTTCATATCTCCTCAGCTCCTGACTTCCAGCTCTGCAGAGACATTTCTTATCTCAGTGACAGCTGCAGCCCCCACAGCTCCCCTAACCTGGCCCTTGCGGGGCCTACCGCCCCTCTCTTCCCCCACGCACACAGATGGGCCCGCTGGGCACAGGCATTGCCGTCCCAGCAGCGGATTCGTCGCCTGGCCCGCAATAAGTCTGTCAGCACCGCGTGTTTATTTGGAGAGTGCCAGCCTGAGCGCTCGGTGGGTTCCATAGCAGGAAGAAATGTTTCCCAAGGAGGGCCCTGGCACGCGCTGCCCCGAGGAGCGGCGCACACTGATATGTGGAATCAGACTCTATGACCACAGAGTATTACAAAAGCAGGTACGTTTAATCAGGGCTGCAATGCTGGGTGCAAGGGGGAGAGCTGCTCCTAAGTCGCACAGCGTCAGGAGAAAGCGTGCTCCAGGTAGAGGCCGAAGTAATACGTGATCAGGAGTTCCCAGGAATTCAGATCACATTCATATCATTCTGAGCCCATCAGCATGTGGCCCCCGCTCGCGCGTGCGCAGTGAGTGGTGAGGGTCTTCCTGGCGGCCGTGGGCTGAAGAATCCTCATCTTCCTCGCGAAGGCTCGCAGTCTTTCTCCCTGTTAACTTCTGACCCTGCGGGAGGGGCAGCCCCCCCCAGCCCCGTTTCAGCTCGCCCTGCGGCCATCGAATCGCCTCGCTGCCCGGCGTCCTCAGGCCGTTCTCAAACCCTTCCCTTTACGGCCTTCATCCCCTCGTTATCGCAGACCCAGTGTCTGCCATCCCTTATTTTTTTAACATTTTTGATTCTACAAACTTTCTCTAACTCCCCCCTCTCCCCAATGCTTAATCCCCGTGAAGCCTTTTCCTCACGTTTTCACTACGGGGCCCTTCTCACCTTTCAGCACCGGCCCGCACAGCCGTACCGGACAACCGTGCACCAGGCGCGCGCTGCGGCCCCGCACGGCCTTCTGCGCGCCCCGCCTCCAGCCTCTCCTATTGGCAGGCCTTGCCCGTTCGGTCATCTCGTTGGCTACCGTTGCCGCCTGTTATGTGCACGCCCCGCCCCTTCTGCTGGGAGAGCCTCGTCCGCCCCTTCGTCTCTGCGGAGGCAATTGGCTGCCCTGGCCGTCACTTAAAGCTTGGGCGGAGGGGCGATTGGACGAACGGGCGCGCAGAGGCGTGACGCCACCCGGCGCGACGCGCAGCAGCCGGGGTGAGCGTCACGTGACCCGGGGAGCCGGTGATACGGGGCCGAGGAAGCGTGGATCCTCGTGGGGCTGGACAGTGTGTCTTGTGCTGAAGATTGCAGAGCTGCTGTGCAGTAATGACATCATTGATGGAAGAGCTGAGTACTGGGTTGAGAAAGCTGCCAGGCTCTTCCCTGGGAATCCTGCTGCTTACAGATTGAAGGTAAATTCCAGCTTCTGATCTCTTGTTCTGTTCCTAGAAGAAACTTTAGTTGCATCATGTGATGGGAAAATGGTGGTAGTAATAGTATCCAAGAGGTCAAGATTAGATAGGTGATACTGCCTCTGTTACGTGACTGCTCTGCTTTCTAGGTTTTTTTGAGTTAAAAACTGTCAAGTGTAGGAGATGCTCTTATTCCCTAATGCTGTGAAAGTGCTTTCAGTCATATGATCTCACTTTTGTACAGGCGTTAGTTTTCTGGAGCAACAGCAATGAAATTGAAGTCTTGAGAGGCTTGTGCTTTGGGGTTTTGTGTGTGGTTTTTTTTTTTTTTTTTTAAGACAAGCTGCTCTGTATCGAAGTGTGTCAAATTTGAACCAGATGGTTTGACAACTTCGCATCTAATTTTGCATCTACAAGATGCAAACTTTAAAGTTTTTTTGTTTTTTTTTCTTTTCTCACTTCTAAAATGCTTTCCAAGCTCTCTGTAGCACCTTTGAGCTTTGCAGAGCAGTTTGAGTAATGTAGTCAGTAGTGGCGGTGAGAAAGCAGTCAGGTAATGTAGTTGCTGAAGAGGCTTTCGTGGAGAATGCTATTTTAACACGTTGCCTTTGTATTTGATAGGAGCAGTTACTGGAGCGTCAAGGCGAAGATGGCTGGAATCAGCTCTGTGATATGATTCAGACCGAGCTCTGTGCGAGACCAGACGATCCCTACCTTAACATCAGACTGGTTGCTCTCTACCATTTAAATAACAGATTAAGAGATGCTGCGCTTCACTGTCAGGAGGCGGAGAAGAAAATACCTGTAGGCTCCAGCTTGGAATGGTGTTAGTGTGTCATAAAGAGGTTCGAGGTGTTTAATCATGTTTTGGTCCTGTCATAATCTGCCATGTCCTTGAAACTAGTGTTATTCTCTTAGTATCATTACAATGACAGCTAATTCTCAAGTGGCTTAACTCCTTCAAATGTAGCGTCTGCTGAAACCCATGATTTGCTTAGGATTTTCTTAAGCCTTCCAGAGTTGAAAAATATGTTAATGTCTCACCTGGGAAACTGGATTATGTAGCAAGGTGTTCTGGAGAACCTCTTGCCTTCATGTAAGGATGGTGGTTTCTCATTCTCTAATGAACTTTGTTGTTTAGGAATACCTTGAATCAGTACGAGACTTGGAGTCTGATAAAAATAATTGGAGAGCTGTCAAGAAGGATCATCTGCTGGCCTATTCTAGCTTGGTTAAAAATACACTTGCTTCTAGAGATGTTCAAGAAAGCAGAGGGGCCCTTGAAAGGTATTGTTTTAACTGTTCTGTTTAAAAAAAAAAAAAAAAAAAAAAAGAAATTGAATATTTTTTCTGGGTCACAGAACCCAGATAAAGGCAGGCATCATTTTCAGTGATTAGCCATTTTGTGGATGGGAGAGGAGTTCCTCTGTACTAATTGCAAAGAAAAAATGTTGCTAGGCGTGATCCCCAAGCTGTGTGTCTGAGCTACAGGCCTCAGAGAAGACTCGGTGATAGGGGTCTAGTATAAGTGGGAGGCCAGGACTTGGTTGAAAAGGAATCTTTCCTATGTTCCAGTTTTGATCGTGTGCTTCACTCTGTGAGACCGTGTGCGAATGGACCTGATGAGCTGTCTCGTACCTTCCTTGAAATGAAAGGACACTTCTACATGCATGCTGGAACTTTCCTGCTGAAAATGACACAGAACAGTGAGACACGATGGAGAGATGCGTGTGAACTTGCAGCCTTGTGTTACCTGAAAAGTTTCCATGTAAGTCCCTGTTCAATTTGTGCATTTAGTGATTGCAATTGAATGCTCTCATTGTACACACACTGAACACCCATATTTCAAAAACTAGCTGCTGTTTAAGGCTGTCTCCTCGCCAAATCTTACTCTTCCATACTTGTTTAAAAGATTTCAAATGGTGTGAAGAAAATCCTATCCGTTTCACTTGTCAGAAGTAAATGACTCTTAAGGGCTAACGAGTATATTTTCTGTAGGCTGTTCCCTTCTCTGTAATGCAGCTAAATTAACTAGTGTTAAGGTTATTGATATGGGAGGGAGGGGAATGACCTGAGTAGCTCTCACATACTTATTGCATAGACAGCAGAGCTTGATCAAGCTTAATTCTTTGCTTTATGGAATACAATCAGTTTTCCTTTTGCACAAGTGCTTGCGTTCAAAACATCGCTTTCTCTTGTGCACTCTTACAGCTGTTTGCAATTGTTCAGTTACTCACCTCGAGTCCTTTCCTGAAAAGAAACAAGTTTGTTTCCTAACTTTTAAGACTAAATGAAGTGATTTGCTTTTTATTGTCAAGAAGCTGTAGCAATTCTTTTCTTTCTTCACCAGATTCCTAAACCAAAGTCAAAACTAACGAGAGGAGATCGTTCTGGGCAAGATAAGCTGGAAACGTTGGCCTGTGACCGAAAAAGCCAGTCTGATAATAAAAACTAATAATTACAAATGTTCCATAGTTCCATTTTAATCTTATGAGCTGCTAATGTCAGAGTTAAAGGTTTGTTAAAGAGCACGTTTGGTGTCTTGGAACACACCATAAAATGTTCTGCATTTTGGCTGCGTATAAAATGCAGAACAGTGGTTTGATCCTGACACGTACTGGGCTTTTTCCTTTTGTCTCCAGGACGTTAAAATAGAATTTAACTTTCAGTGTCTCCTAGTCTGCTGGTTTCTGCCTGCTAATACACTATTTCTCCTTTCTAAGTAGTAAGGGAAGGAAAAATAAGGAGCAGGGTAAGGAAGGCTTGGCATAGGATGAAACAGGCATAACAGCTTCAAGAAATATTGCCCTCCTGTATGCATCCTGAAAACGTGAGGTTGGTGGTACCTCTCATATGGAAAGATGAATTATTGTGTTGCATGGATTGTACGCCTGGAGTACTTGGCCAGTAGGAAACAGTAAAAACCTGGGATGGGAGAAAGATATATAATATAGTGTTCATATATAATGAGAAGTGTTCAACTGATCGTGCGCCCAATGTCTCCCTGCCATAAGGGGGCTGCCCACCCATTGTTGCAGTAATGAATAAAAACTTTGCTGCTTCACTGAGATCATTTCCTGATCAGAAGTCATTGGAGTTGAGCGCCTCTCACATTCCCCAGGGGTCGGGATTGGGGCCCATGTTTAATATCTGTACTGATGTGCAGCTGAGGTCATCCCCAAGCTTTGGTATCCCTGGGGATGGTACAACCAACATAAATCACAGACTGACAAGCTACTGGTGCTTTCTTCTTTGATACTCTGCATCCCACAGGCAGCGCAGGACTGCAGGAGAATACACCCACATCTACACCGGGATGAAAATAGCTTTCATGAGCCCAAAGGACACAGGGGAGGGGAGGGGACAGGAGGGGAGGGGGGTGGAAAAGGGAGGGGAGGGGGGTGGAAAGGGGAGGGAAGGGGAGGCAGCTATGGCAAGGGAGCTGCCCTGTGCTAGGAGCGGATGGACTGCGAGGAGCTGTGTCTGAGGAATGGCTGTGATTGGGTCAAGAGCTGTGGGTAAAAATCAAGGACCGGCCCAGCGAAGAGCACCCGGTGGTCGGAGTCTGCTGCAGCCCACCCGATCAGGAGGAAGCTGTTGACGAGCCCTTCTTGCTTCAGCTGCAAGAGGTGTCACGCTCGCAGGCTCTTGTCCTGATGGGGGATTTCAACTGCCTGGATACCTGCTGGGAGAGCAGCACAGCAGGGGGCAGACAGTAGAGGAGATTGCTGGAGTCTGCCAAAGCCGACCTCCTGGTCCAGTAACAGATGGACCGACCTGGTGTCAAGCCTTACTGGACTTGGTGCTCACCAGTGCAGAGGAGAGCATTGGAGAGGTTAAGACTGGAGGCAGCCTGGGCTGTAATGAATGCCTTGATGGAGTTTGTGATCTTGAAGAATACAGATCTGGCAAAAAGTGGAGCAGGACTCTGAACTTCTGGAGAGCAAAGTTCTGGCTACATATTTTCCTCTTGTGTTTTAGTGTCACCTCCCTTTGTGTCCACCACTGATCTGCAGTGGTAAGTAAGACCTGAGTGCCCAAATGTTGGTCTGTGCGGTCCATGATGGTACTGCACGTGGCCTGCAGAGTGTTTTGCAACCTGCCTGTGGCCAGCCGGTGGGTCTCCCTGTTCCACTGCAGCTGTGGAACTGACAACCTGGATGTTTATCCCATCTCATTACCTGACCCAGCTCTGGTCTTTGATGGAAAAAGTGATCACAGATTTAATGGGAACTTCTCTTATCTGATTGTGATTCTAGATGACTACACTGGTCCTTTCTATCCAGTGTTCTGGTCAGACACAGCTTTTGTTCCTGAGGTGGAACCTCAGGAACACTGCCAGGACAGAGCCTTTGGGGCTCCCCCTACCGTTCTATTTTCCTCCCCTCTTTGTCCCCTTTCAGTTCTCTTCCCCTCCCCGTCTCCAGACAGTTCCACACATGGATTGTTGTGTATCAGCACAGTGCCACTGCAGGCACCTGGCATGTACGGCTGAGATGCTGCTGTGTGGAAGGGAGAGAAGGGTGCTGTGGAGCGATCCCTCCTTGTTTCCATCTGGATGTGGATATGGACGTGTTTGATATGAGCTGCTCTGTCCTGTTTGTTTACAGATGTGAGTGGAGATGAATGGGATGCAGAATCCCAGCTGGCTCCCCGGATGGAAGCTCTAGCAGACGGTATGAGTATGTCATGGCTTTTTACTTCCTTTGTGAGCTGCCAGCTCACAGCCCTAATGTCAGCCAGGCACGCCTGCAGGAGTGAGAGCACAGAGCTGCACGTGCGTGCCCTGTCCCTGCACCATCCCCTGGTACCATCTGCTCCTCAGATGGCACTGTGCCGTTACGCGTGACACAGATGATAGAAAGCTTTCGTGGTTCTTTGCTTGCAGAAGTGCCTCCAGAGAGAGCCATGCCAAACCTGCAGCTGCTTCCCATGCCGGAGCCCCACTGGTATCCCAGGGGTGGACAGGGTGGTCTGTCTGGATGGACTGCACCAAATAGAGTTCAGTAGCTGGTTCATCTGAAACGTGTCCTGGTACATCCTGTTCAGGTCCTGTGAGACAGAGAGGGAAGTTGGTAAGACAAAGATATTTGCAGAGGTCTTCTCACATTCTACAGACAGTCATGATGGAGAATGCAGTATCTGGTGGGCATATTTCTGTCTGTTCATCAGAGGGCTTGGAAACCAACATTCTACGTATGTGGAAAACATTGATGTCTTCTGAGAAGTAGTGCCCTCTGAAGATAACGTCTTCCTGGTAAGAGCAGATATTTACTGTCCCACTCTGCTACCTTCTTTCTAAAGAGATCGATGGAGAGCCTGTGGATGAGGCTGTGCTTCAGGAGGGCAGCAGCCGCACGCTGCTCTTCTCCCATGAGGACACAGAGGATGTTCAAGCTGGTGCTTGAACATCCAGCACCAGGCTGGTGCTGAATCTCCCCTGGTGCAACTTGAGGCTGTTCCCTCTCGTCCTCTCACTGTTAGTTGAGAGTAGAGACCAACCCCCAACTCACCACAGCCTCCCTCAGGAGTTAGAGCGCAGTGAGGTCTCCCCAGGCCCCTTCTTGCAGCAAGGGACCCAGAGCTGAACACAGCACTGGAGCTGCAGCCTCACCAGAGGAACAATCGCTTCCTGATCTGCTGGCAGCACCATTTCTGATGCAGTCCAGGATACAATTGGTCCTCTTGGCCACTGGGCACGCTGCTGGCTAGTGTTCAGCTGAGTATCAACCGACAACCCCAGGTCCGTTTCCTCTACACTGACTTCCAGCTGCTCTGCCCCACACCCATAGCGGTGCCTGGGGTTGTTGTGGCCAAAGTGCATCTCCAGTTGACCAGGAGGGCTGACAGATGATGGAAAGCAGCTTGGCTTTTCACCTCCACCAGCTCCCCCAGTACTCTTGGATTAATCTCATCTGCCCCCATGGACTTGTGGCAGTCCAGGTAGAACACAGGACTCTGTTTCCTCCTGAATTGAGGGGGTTTATTCTGCTCCCCATCCCAGACTTTCAGGTCAGAGAGCAGAGCACCAAAGAAGAGCTTTTTTTTCACCCTTTGCATTTCACATCCGTTGCACACTGCCATCTTCCCTTCCCTGAAGCTGCTCCGCCCATAAATGTTGGCAGGGGTCTAAAGCCACAGCCACCAGTCCTGCATTAGGATTTTGTGAAAGGGGTGCAGCATTTGGCATTGGGGTGCAACTTTTTGTTAAAAGGGTTAAATCTTTGGGCCTTGGCTTCAGGCTTTTGCTAAAGGGGTTCAGCCTCTTGTTCTTGGGGTTATGCTGTTTGGCACCATTTGACCTTGGGCTTCTGCTTTTAGTTTTCATTTCTCCTGTCTTCCATCTCTATGCCTCTCCAGAGCTCTCCAACAGAGACACTTTTTTTTTGCTCCAGCCTTCATGGACAAACACCACTGGGCAGAAGAGATCTGTGCAGACACACAGCAGACGTCTGTGTGCAGAGGGACTCTGCTCATCCCATTTCTCTTCCCATCTACGTCTCGTCCCACTCTGCGCATTTTGAAGGGCTGACTCTCTTTCCATCTCCTGAGTCGTGCCTCCCCTGGTCAGCAAAGGACCGCTACTGCAATGGAGTCATCCAAACTCAGAGAAATAATAGATGTCCATTTATTGAGAGCTTTCTTAACAGCCAGCAACAAGCTATTGGAGGTAACATTGGCCAATGGGCTGATTGCAAGGAATAATGTTAGATGTAACAAATGTAGGCAAAGGCTGTGACAAAGAGTCAAAGAATAACAGATGACAAAGAGAAAAGGCAGAAAATGGAGAAAGAGGGACAGACAGCAAAGCGCTCGTAGATCCAGCCGCGTCCTGGTGTCAGGTACGGATCTCTAATGTGATGGGTTGTCATTGGACAACGACTGACAACGACTCACGACAACAGTAGGAACTCACTGAGAAGTCCAAAGCGGTGGCACTCAGCCGCCTGCCAGCACTCCCCCACAGCTGTGCCTGTGCGCCCCGGGGGGGCAGGAGCACAGGAGAGGCCCCTTCCATGGGGACAGAGCCCTCTCCCCACGCCCAACTGCGCAGCCCCAATCTGGGAGGGGCTACCGAGCACGGCGGTCAGATGGGCAGCAGCCCATCACAAACCACACGCAGGGTGCTGCTCGCAAAGTACGCCAGGGAAGCGTACGTTGCCCGGGGCAGCACTTGAGGCAGGAGCCGATAGAAGAGCTCCTGGTCGAAGTGCTGGGCATACAGCACTGCAGAGCCCAGCACAACAACGAGGAGCAGCTGGAGGCAGACCAGGATGAGGCAGATCATCCTGTGGGGCAGAAGAGAAAGGGGGCTGGGAATGAGGCACACCCACCCCACAGCTGTCGACGGGTGGCTTGCTAGCCAAGGGGGCCATGGGCCCCTCGAACAGCTGTACGAGCAGGACAGGGCGGGAGGCTCTCAAGATGTACAGATGGAAAAATACTAGTATGCTACCTGCGAGGACACTGTATCCTTGAGCTCCAAAGTAAACGACCACGGAGGAACTTGGTTTGGAGATAAGGAAGTAACCGCGGGTGTGCCGCAGAGATAGTTCCTAAGGCATGAAAACGTGTGTAGCCCATCACCTTTGTGAGTAAGGGGTAGTTACGGGGTTGTTAACTTATCAGCTTGTGGCAAGTTTACTAATATGGTTATAAATAGTCTCCCTTTAACAATAAAGCGGGGTTTTCCTGATGCACTCATATCTTGTCGTCACTCCCCGCGCGTCTGGACTAGCAAACTCACCAAATCCCAGGACCAGCCCTGGAAGCAGTGGCAAGTGGTGCCCGAACAGGGACCCGGGATTGAAATTAATGGGGACATTAATTGCTCGATCCCCCCACGGCAGCACAGCCCCACACAGTGCTGAAGGGGCCATCTGGGAGCCCTGCTGGTGGCAGTGGGGGTCCAGGCCATCAGCCCCCTGCCGGGAGCCCGGCTGCTGGCGGCTGGGCACGGGGCAATTAGGGGACACTCACTGCATCCAGAAGGCGAGTCCTCATCTCCTCACCTGCTCCTTCTTCTCCCGCAGGTGAACACGGGGCAGGTATGGTGGTCAGGCCCTGCTGCACAGCCAGGGCTCATGCGGGACAGTGGGAGCCTGGCAGCGCAGTGGCACAGCCCCGTCCCCAGGGAGACCCTTGTGGATGGGATGAGGATGCGGTGGGCTCTGCCCCTTACCAGCTGTGCCTCCACCAGCTCCAGCAGCACAGCTCCAGGCACGTGGGCTGCCTCCAGCTCCATCTGATGCTGCTGCCCATAGGACACAAGGCTTGGTCGGAGGGTGCCGGCCTCTGTCACCGCGGGGGCTCCCCAGCAGTGTGCACCCACCTCAGGGCTGGGATGGGGCTGCTCCGTCCCGCCACGTGCCGAACGGAACCCGAGCCCCAAGCCCAGCAGCGCTGCAGCCCCATTGCTGCCCTTAGTGCTGCAGAGACCCCGGGGTGCAGGCGTGGGCTGCAGGGCCCAGTCCCACTCACCAGGCATTCTCCACCTCCAGCTCCTCCAGCTCCTCTTGCAGGCGTTGTTTTTCCTGGCACAGCACCTGGCAGACAAAAGTGTGAGTGCCCGTGCCTGCTGCAGCCCTCCTCCAGGTCCCCAGCCTGGGGGCAGGCAGCCCCGATCCCCTCGCCCCTCCACACTACCTTGATCTCCTTGGTCTCAGTCTGCAGCTGCTTTTCCAGCTGGGCAATGAGCTGCTTCTACAGCAAGACAATGGCTGCACCATGTGGGATGGCTGTGCTGGGACCCATGGACCCGAGGGACCAGGACTGAGGTCCTCCTCACAGCCAGAGCTGTGAGGACACCGAGCTCTGAGGACGCGCCCCTGCTTCACCCTATCTGCTCCAGCTCCTATTTCCTGGCAGCCACTCTTTCACCCTGTGCTTGCTGGGATTCCTGCAGGAAAGGAGAAGAGGAGCGGCCATCAGGGAACCGGCGCTCCCATGGAGCTCCGTCTGACGGCAGCTCTGTGCCGCCGTCCCCTTCCGCCTCCTCCATCAGGGCAACTGGTGCCCACAGAGCTGCAGCTGCAGACCCACACAGGGGGACTTCTCCTGCCCCACACCCCACGGGCAGCACTGTTGTGCCTGCACACCCACACCAGCCCGTGCTGCTGCATCCACTCACCTTCATCAGCAATTTCCTGGCTGCAGCTCTGTGGTTCTCCACAACCTGCTCATGAGCCTGTGGGAGGAGAGAGGAGCAGCGCTGGCACCGAGGCCATGTCCACTGCACATGTCCATTCCATATACTTATACTTATTCCATATCCTCATCCCATCCCATTACCATCCCAGTCCCATTCCGTATCCATATTTCATCCCCAATCCATCCCACATTCTTCCCATATCCATCCCATATATATTCCATTTTTGGATCTCCCATTCCATATTCATCCCATATCCGAACCCCCACACCCCAATCCTATAGGGAGCATTGGGGGGGTTTGGGAGGGGCTATGGGGGTCTATGTGGTGGTATAAGGTGGACTATGGAAGCACCTGGGGCTAAACGGTCCAGATACAGGCCCAAATACAGGGACTATAGGGGGCTAAAGTGGAGATGGGGGAATATTGGTGAGATACAGGGTTATAACATGGCTGTGAAGCGATACAGGGCAATATGGGGCTACAGGGGCCTGGGGAGAGCTATGAGGAGGGATATAGGTGACTGGGGGAGGATACAAGAAAATATGCTGCCATAAATGTCCATAGGGGGCAAATAGGTGGGATAGAAAGGGATATGGGGAGACAGGGAGCATTGGGAAAGCCGTAAGTGTCATATGGAGAAACAGGCACAATGCAGGTCTGTGGAGGAGGGACATAGGGAGATACAAGGTTGTAAAAGGCTGTAGGGGAGTTATGGGGGGCTTGCATAGGCTGTAGTAAAATATAGGGCAGTATGGTGTGTACAATCAGTAAGTGCACAGAGGTGCAAAATCAATTGGTGCACAGAGTTTTACGCTAAGTAAGATCATCACAACAGAAAGATAACAAGTGGAAAATGCTTACTGATGTCGTAGGCTCGCAATATTCAACATGACAGTAATCTCCAGCAAGAGATCCTTCCCCAGGGGCAGTCAGCACTTCAGTGGGATCCTGGAGAGGCTCCACCCCTCCCAGCAACACAGGTGAACTGCCTTCACGGCATGAGCCAATGTCGATTTGACTGCAGGGTGAGCTTTTCTATGGCAGAGATCCGATGCATCGCGATGCGTGCTGGTACGACTCAAGACGAGTGACGGCCAGCGAACGTTGATATTCTGTTATGGGCCAGAGCTCGACGGTGTCACTGGAGGCACGTGGCCGTGAGCTGCAGGTCTATCCTATGCTCCATCAGTGCCATGCAGACCATCTCCGGGCGCTGCATGAGATCTGACAGCAGCATTGATGGCATTGCGTTCCTTCCAGTGATCCTGAAGGCTCAAAGACTCATGGGGAGAAATACAGATGTTTCGGGGTACCAGTAGGGGAAGGTCTGCTCTCCAGGGCGAGATACAGGCTGTATTTCTGTCCTTGGTCAACACTTGGGCTGGAACTGGGCACGTCCTGGCCGCCTGTACCACAGCTTCTGGATGGATGTCTGCGGTGCATCACAATATCAGGCACCAAAGGAGGTGTCCTGATCTGCCACAGGCACATGATGGGGGTCCCTTTAGCAATGAAGATAGGAGTGTTGACCACAACATCAGTAGGCCATGTACCTGTTACTGGAGGGACTGCTGAGCTTCCCACCACCAACAATCTTCCCCAAGGTGCAAGCAGGCCAGCCACTGGGCTGATGACCAGAAACATGGTAGACACGTACAGTCCTGTGTTTGACTGCATTCAGTATGTCTAACCACATGTCCTTGTCCCAGATCATGGGGGTGGATAGTCCATTCCTGGGTGGCCCACTGTGCAATGCAAAGAGTGAGCCCCCGGTACACAGCCCAACTATCTGTGCAGATGTTCAGGATACCATCACCAGGTCCCCTGGTTATAACCATCCACACAGCTCGCAGTTCTGCCCATTGGCTGCTCTGACCATCCCCCTCGTCGAAACAGATCGTCTTGGTGGCAGGATGGTACGCTATTGTTCTCCACTTGCTCGGGTTGCCCTTGCTGGACCCATCTGTGTACCAGGCATCTTCAGGGATCGGATATTCTCCCTCCTGAATGGTACTCTTCTCTGGTGGAGCGACCAGTGTTTCTTTTGGTGCATCACTCCCTGAAGTTTTGGAGACAAAAGTCAGTTGAAAGACTAGAATCACACAGAGCAGGAAGGGAGAAGTGCAAGTGCTCACCCAGAGACAAAAAGAAGGTTTATTCAAGTATTACAGTACGACAACCAAGCATTGCAAATTCCCTAGTGAGGTGAAAATCTGCAGTCAGTACAGGAAGCCTGAGGTTTCAGGATTCACAACAGAAGCCAGCTAACAGAAGCAATGTGGGAGCTGTATCTACCTGTGCCCCTTCTCCCAAGAAGCCCAACAGCAAACATTTGTGCTCAGCTGCTACTTTAAAACACCACAGTCACTGTTCCGACAGCCCTCCTGCTACCTCTTCCATCAGAGCTGTGCCTGCAGACCCCAGCGGAGGCCAGGGTGCTCTGACTTATCCAGAATAAGAAAAATGTGCAACGGCAGGAAGAGAAGTTTGCACCTGCAGCGCCCTGCCCATTTATCTCTTCTGCTATTTGGTGCACAATACATGACCCAGCCCCACCACTCCAATTTTTCTTTCTGGATTAGTAATAAGGCAAGTGGGAACCAAAGGCATCTGGGTGTGATGCCAGTCTGCTCCTGCAAAAAGCAGCTCACCTCACACTTGGGGCCAAGTGAGAATGAGGAACACCCCTGACCTGTTCCTGATCACGATGCAAGTGTGAGCCCTTTTCAGTCTGGAACCCTTTGGGCATTGCTTCTTTAAAAACAACAGCAGCAACAGCATCACTGAAAGCTCACTGAAGTCCACAGACCAAATCACCAGAACAGAAACAATGGGAGATGGCAGAGGTCTGAAGTAGCTGCAAAAGGAGCATTAGGGCTTCAGAAGGGTTGGTTAGTTTGGTTTGTCATAGCAGTTAAGAAAGCAGAGAAGTGAGAGAGTTTTATATTAACAAAGTTCAAAACAGACCTCAGAGCTCTAATTCTGGCTGGGAGCTCTGTGCACCATACCAGCACCAGCCATCTGTCTGTCCCTTGCAGCACTTTGCTCCAGCAAGCAGGCTGTGTACTTACTGCATTTTCTCTGCTATCTCAGACAACACAGAACAGCATCATTTTAACCCCCAACTCCATCTTGGATGCAACCCCTGGTTGTGTGGTTGTGTGTATGAAGTCCAACTCCTCATATTGTTCAGAGCAGGCAGTGCCCTGGATGATGCCACAAAGATCATCACTGTGACAAACCAACAGTAAATCAAAGCAACCGCTGCGTTTAGAGTTACCAACACAAGAGAGGTGCTCACCACACTCAAATCCCAGGCTGGTTTTGGGCATGCGTTCCCATCTTTGTCTTTCCCCAGGGTGAGCTTAACTCTCACCTCACTACTTATAGCTGTGAGGGCAAATTTATGCCACCTAGTTTTACACACCTAACAGTCAGCTAGCCAGGCCTCAGCTAGCACTGTCTAGGCTCCCTGTGAAGTTAATTCAAATAAATATGCATCTCCAGAGGGCAAATAACTGCAGAGCTGTGGCTCCAGAGAGCAGCTCCTACCAGGAGCTCTGCAAAACACTCTGATCCCAAATCTAATCTATTGCTGTAGTGTTAGAGATGAGTTTGCACTCAGACGTTCACTTCCCAAATCACACTGCACAGCTGTTTCTCTCCTGGTGCTGCCTTCATGCATGACAGGATTTAAAATTTAGAAAACAATTAAACAAAAAACAACAGAACAGTGAGGTAATGGTGACCTAATTTCCTAAACTGTCTTTATGCCAACCACAACTTTAGGGTTTCAGAGACCTTGGTGCATTGTCAGCTTGCTCTAAAAATGCCTTATCTGCAAACCAGAAATGAGCATATCGCAGTTTTCAGACAAGCACCATCCAACATAAAATGGAAGAATGCCACAAACTTGCATCCCCCGAGTAAAAAAAGCCAGAAACTTTATTATTCATACCAAATTCTTATATACAAAAGCTCCTATGTCTTTTAAAGTATCTTAGCTCTTAGTCCATCACAACAACAACGCATTACACAAATGGGCCCATGCTCAGATTCCTACAATACAGACTTAATCTTCAGTGAATTGTGCTAGAAAAGCGTTCATTTTACTGTCACTTTGAATCAGGTCACGAGAAGAGTGGTAACACTACAGCCAGAATGCTGAAAATCAACTGTGGAGAGGAAGTTTTGGAAACAACACGCCATAAGAATGACATGCTATGAAAATGCAGAAAGCTGCTTGCTTGAGGCCGTGCTGCTGGACTGAGGCAGAAGAGGTCACACTGAGCAAAGCCTTTGGAATTCCCTGAGGATGGCACTGCAGTGGTGAGAAGGAACTTGGGGATGTTGTACACCCAGTGCTAAGAAGCACTCAAGGGATTCTGCACCAGACAACAGTTCAGGTGCAGGGCCTTGGAAGAAGATCTGAAGTGGAGCCTGTATAATAGAGTTAAGAGTGAGAGCCAAAGGGCACCAAAAATGAAAACACTGCAGGGCAGTGTGAAATGAGATGAGCAGCAATCCAGAGACCACTTCAAATCTCTTAAAAATATACAGAGGTACTCATTTAATTACACGTTGGACACAACCAAGACCAGTTTTGGTTTGCTCTTCTCTTCTGTGTTTCAGCTCGTTACATTTGCACATTGTGTTACTGTCAAAAAACAAAGCAACCAAAATAACGTAACTAAGCTGGAAAAAGGACTGAATCAGTGAAGGAACAGAGTCATCACAGCTGTGTGCTGCACCAGCCCACATTGCACAGTCACGGTGTCAGCACTCAGCCACAACCCGCCGTGCTGCTCAGTAGAAGGGTTCAGCCCTACGTTACGCTGCTCACAAGGGGGGTTCTACTGAAAGCCAGGGAAGCAGCAGATAGGCAGGGAGGAAAAGCTCCTCCATCCTTAACTATGACTCACGATGAGATACGTGACTGAGGAATTTCACTATGATACCCCAGAATCAGTGAAAAGCAAAGCACGTGGTCATTCTTACAGGAGGTCCAGAAATGAAAGAGCAGCATAAAAAGAAAAACAGAGGTGAACAGATTTGCTTCAGTGCTTGCTTAACTCAGGAAAACCTAATTTGGAGAAGAAAACTGAAGTTTTTAACTGAGCTTGGATGGACTTACTAAACAGCAGGTCAGCCTGGATCCAGCTGTGCTGATGGATCAGCTGTTTTCTGTTGGACCAATCTCCTGTGAAAAGCCAAGAGCAGAAATCCAGCTCCAAGGGCTCAGAAAGAATAAATGACATAGAGCCCAGGCCACCTGATTTTTTTTTTTTTCCAGGAAAGATGTGAAGAATAAAGTTGTTCCAAAAACTTTCCTCAGTTTTCCTTGTTTCACTACCAAGTAGACAAAAAGCATCAGCTTCTCTCATTTGTATTGAGTTAGTACCTCAAATGCTGTGGACCACTGACGTCGTTTGATAGAAAACACGTTCTTAACACACATTTCTTACATCCAGCCAAGATTAGCAAAGCCTCTTGCCTCCCTCAGAATCCTCTTCCTAAATTGCAGCCCTGAGCTCCCCTACCATGCTGCTGCAGTTTGCCAGATGATTATTACTCAGCAGAACTGCCATGGGAACAGAGGAAGACACTTCTCATTACTTCCCAGCTTCTAAGCACACATTTTTAAAGTCAGCTGTTTTGCTTTTCTCCAGCTTTACTTCAAGCCTCGGGCACAGACATCCCTGGATCCATCTGGTCTTACTAACATTGCTAATGCAATATTTAAAGGCTGCTGCATGAACAGGAACCTGGGATCTATTTGTGCCCACAGGCCCCAGGCACCATTTATCAGTTTGCCTCCAGCAAACAAATCCCTTGATAACAACAAGGCATGTTAGGTTCACTTTTCCATTTAAAGGAAATGGGCAAAACTCAGCACTAATCTTCCAGCAAAACGTGCATTTCATTGCTTTTGTTAAGCGGCTCTTGCAGAGACAGTTACCCAGCAGTGGAAATAAAGCTAGGCAAGGAAACAGACCTGCAGGAAACAAGTCCTACTTGTCACACTGCCAACGACACACTGAATCACCGCATTCCAAGAGCCAGCTTCAGAGCAAGTAGGCACTAATGTGGTGAATCTCATGAAAACCAAACACCAGCATCATATTCTACGCACATGCATGCACAGTTCTGTCTTGTCTGGATTTGAGAAACAAGATCCTGAGGTGAGGTGGCTTAGAATAGCTTTTCTTCTGAACAACACCACAGGTACATTCTCCTGCTTAAGTACAATGAACAGAGTTCTCTCCAGAATAGCCCAGGCTCTTCCACTGTCACACCAGGCAGACCAGAACCATGACAACTCTGCACTGAAGAACTCCAGCATTTATTCCAGCCACCATGAGTAATTTCTCCCAGTACGTACATTCCATAAGATCAAAACTTACAGCATTAGGAAAATCCTATTTCAGTCTTTAGAGAACGCAGTAAGCCTTAAACACGCATCCAGGAATCTTCTGATGCTTCACGTATGTTTCCACGTGAGCCCATGAAGGTACGTGCACAAACCCCACTGTTTGTTAGCAGGACTGGAAACCCTGGTTTGAAAATACACCCGGAGTGTTCTGGCGTTAACAGAAACACTGACAGATCTCAAATGCATTATAATAAATTCTTTCTCAGAAAATACTGGCCTGCTAACTGTTGCCCAGGATTCTTGTCAGTCAGAAGCAGTGAATCCCTTGTCTCATTTACCATCTGGGCAGCACTCTCGGTTCATCTGAAGAACAGGATGTTGCACCATCCCACCTCATGGCAGAAGAGTGAATTTCAGATATACTGCAAGACTCAACTACATAAGGTGCATACAATATGGAAAGAGAGAGCCCATATTCCAACAAGCTTTAGTCCCCCTGACAATTAACATCCAGACGAGCTTGTGGGTTTGAAATGTCACTGTTCGGCCAATGAATCAGCCAGTGAGATAGTCCAGTCTGCGCTTCTGATCCATCTGGTAAGGCATCACAACAGCTTTAAGTGCCAAGGATCTGTCAGGGGCTTTAGTTTAGAAATACTCATAATCCCATCATGCAATCCCATCCTCACCGTTCTGCCAACCAGCAGAAAAAAATGGTCATGGGTAAAAGCCAAAGGAATGTGAAAAAGTCTTCTTATTTTGCTGAACAGCCATACACCATTTGCATGAGCGCTGCAGAAAACCTGCAGAAAAATCAGCTGTCAGTCAGCTTCTGCTTCTGTATCACATCCTGACCAGAAGGGGGAAAATGCAATTTCCAGTGTTAAGAACAGCACTGACTTAAAAGGGACATCGACTGGTATGCATGCCAACAGAACAGTGACGGGCTACAAAGTTAAGGAGAGGTAAAACTCGCAGCAAAGTGCCAGCTCTTGCATGAGGGAGAGCTCTGAAGGAAATAGGGTAATTTGACTGGTGGGAGAACAGCACAGCTCGGAGCTCATGGCTTAAAGAACTTAGAAAATAATTAAGCAGGCGAAAAGCCATCGCTGAATGGAGACCCATCAAACACAGCTGATGTTCAAGCATTTTTGCTGGCATCTAGGCTTTTTTCCATTAGCACAAATACTTGTATTTTCCTTTGAAAACCAGCCAAAGCCAAGCTTGTCCTGCAATTGAGCCAGGCACAGCACTTCTCTCCATACAGAACTGCAGTGAGGAGCTGGCTGTGCTGGGCTTCCTCTGCCACCAGCTCTTCCATGCACCTTTCCTGAGACACAAGCCTGTGAATACTGAAACACATGAACAATTCTACTCAGCTGGGTATTCCTGTGGCTTGCTCTGGTAGCCAAAGTACACGATTTGAACCAAAGGCAAAAACCTCTCATCCTATCCTTGCCAGACCTCTGGACATAACCTGAGACTCTTGCACCTTAGAGGGAAGACGCAATAAAACTTTTGTCTTCCTCTCCCCATCTCAGAACTGGAAACACTGGTGAATATCCACGCATTAGAAGTTCTCAGGACAGTAAAAAGCAGCAATCAAGTTACCACATCCTCCCCAAGTTGAGTTTTTATTGGGGTAGGTCAGACCTGAAATAGGTCAGACCAGCTTCATAAAGCATCACAGACCCAGCCAGTTCTGCATCCTCCAGTGTGCACCGCAGAAAGGCATTAAATGTGTGGCAGTGTCCAGGCACGTTTTGCCCCAAGAGCCCTGACATCAAAATGCATAAAAGTGACTCCAGCACATGAGCGAGGACGTGGTCACAGGGCTCAAGTCATTCCTCAGAGACTGTGAGCAAGGGCGTGAGAGCAAAACGAGAGACGCCGTGATCCTCAGGGTATCTCAGCCTCGCAGAGAAATTGTGACTACAGCCTGTGAGATACAGCTGGGCTGCTTAAGAACACTGAATATCGACAGCTGACCCACACCTTTATGAGTTGTGTTCACAGCTCCCTCAGATGCTAGAGTAAAGCTCAGGCTCACCCAGGCTGTGTCTTTCCCTGAACTGTTCCCTTTCGCAGTGAAAGCTGGCAGAGCTGGGCCCATGGCCACCTCTTACCTCCTGAGCTGGTCGCAGGGTCCCTCAGTCAAGCACAGGGCAGGAAGGAAGCTGAGACCCTTATAGGACCTCTATAGCTGAGACTCTTACAGGTCGTTTCCAACCTTGCGATTCTATGATTCAGTTGGTTCCTTGCTGCTCACTCCCATCAGAAAGATCCGTGCACTCCTTGGGAAGCACAATGCCACCTGGGGAAAAGTGAAAGCAGGAACAGGCCACGCAGGTGGCTATCACCCAGCAGAAGGCCAGATCCTTCCGCCTGATATCTACTCCTCTTTCCAGTCCTGATGTGGCCTAGAGGATGCAGAAGTATCGGTGGTTAGAAGCAGGACTCAGGGAAGGATCTGTAGAATTGGAGCTGATTCAGCTCTCCAGCCTGGCAAAGGAACAGAGCCGTAGGGCTGCCATGAGCTGCAGGACTGCCCTGCTGTCATTTGGGTGGTGAAGCTGAAACCACCTGGCTGGCAAAGTCCCATCTTGCTGACTTATCCATAGAACCCCAGGGAAAGAGAGACAGGCTCTGGGCTGAGAAGGGCTTGGGATACTGGTCCAGGAAAAGGGTGCAGCTCACAATTGTTGCTCAGCATCTCCAGAGGACCACTACTCACCATCAAGATGCTGTGAAGTCCAGTGCACAAGGCAGCAGTGAGACAGGGAGGTCACAGCGAGTTGCCCAACAGCTGGGCAACATCTGCAGGTGGCACATGGACAGTGCAGGACGGGTGGTGCAGTGGAATTGCCAGGTCACAGCCTGAACCACTGCGTGAGCACACGAGTACCTCAAGTGGGGGGAGTCTTCCTCTCTCTCCATCTCAGCAGTGCTCCCAGCAGCACACATACAGTCAGCCTGCACAGGTCTCCTCCCCTCACCCCTCAGCCCCCTTTCACCTTTCAGCACACCATAGTTTAAACACAGAAGGGCTGCATTCCTCAGCTCACCACTTTCTGCCAAACTGTTGCTGGGAGGGATGAGTCGATTCCTCTTTCTTTGATATCCTGTTCTATAGCACCTATATCTCAAATAAAGGCTCTGTCATCACCTTGTTTGCTTTACAGGTGGGAAGGGGCAGAGGACGTCTGTAACAATCAGAATGATCAATGCAGTGGAAGGAGGTGTAACCACAAAGGGACTAGCGCAACAGAAGGGTGTTACAAAGACAAAGTGCTCACCTGTCTCTGAAGATCCATGCTCACAGGGAAAACTCCACAAGGGAGGGATCTCCAACCAGAGATCCTTGCCCACTGCAGGGTCAGCCCTTCAGTGGGGTCTAAGAAGAGAGGTGCAGCCAGGCTCCCCTCATTCCATCATACAGCTGAACTGCCCTCACCTGTGCTCCCAGGGCTGACTGGGTCCTTTCCCCAGATGCTCCATCAGTGGATCAGGCCCTGACTAAACACTCACCAGACAGCATTTCTCAAGAAATAACAGCCAAAGGGGGAAATGGTTATTCCCCTGCTGTTTTCCAGCTGCCTGTAACAATCCCACCTCTGCTGTGCTGGTCGGCAGAGCTGACAACAGGATCTTCTCATGAGCCAGCAGGATGAGGAAGTGAGCAGAGGTTTTGGAAATGTGCCTGCTGTCAGGGTGGGAGTTTGGGCCCACCCCAGCACCATGCATTTCCACCACACGACATGGGAGGTGGCAAAGGTGTTGGAGCCAGTGGAGAGCTGGTGGAGGAGGAGAAGCTTGGATGCCTGGCAATTTGAGGGGACATGAGGTAGCGGCACCCATCACAGCCATGGGCAGCACAGACAGATGGCGTTGGACATGACATACAGGGCCTTCATGACTGGAGCTTCAGGGGCTGGCCGTGGTCACTGTGGAGAAGGGAAGAGTGTGGTCAGCAATTGTGGAGACAGGGCACCTACCCTGGGCTGCAGCCCCTACAGCAGAGTTGCAGGGTTTCAGGCTGCACAAAAAAACTTCTAATTTTGTCTTTAGCGTGACTCAAAAACAAACCCCAGCACTGTCACAGCCTGGGCAGAGCACAGCAAAGGAACCCTAAACCTGTCAGCTCCCTTCCTACACCCCTCAGATCACTCAAAGATCTCTCTCTCTTCAGCAAGGGGGCAAGAACCAAAGGGCTCTTCCTTAGGTCAAGAACTCTCCATCTCAAAGCTCTCAAACACCTCAGGCATTTTCAGCTTTGTCATACCAGCAGTGAAGTGCATGCACCCACCTGCCACAGCTTGGCAAGAAGACACCACTCCCTGCTGAATTACCTGATGGGCCAGATATGTCACACTAACAGGGAGAAAAGAAGAATGAAAAAACAACTGAGAGATGGAGAAAGGCCCTAACTAAACTAAGGACCTTGGGGCTCTCTCTCATCCACTGGGACGGGCAGACCCTTGGGAAGGAAGAGCACTCAATTTGTGCCGGGAGAGATTCAGGCTGGATGTTCGGAAATACTGCTGTTCCAGAAGAGTGGTCGGTGCTGCAAAGGGCTGCCCAGGAAAGTGGTGCAGTCACTGACCCTGGAGGTGCTCGAGGTTACGTTCAGACGCTGTGTCGAGGGGCATGGATTAGTGAGAACTATTGCTGATCGGTGCATGAGTGGACTGATGATCTCGGAGGTCTTTTCCAACCTTGCGGATTCTAGGATTCTAACATCTTGCTAACTGGCCTACCGTGCCTGTTACCATCTTCCAGACCTGCTTCTTCACGCTGGCAGATTAATTTCTTTGCTACTTTCCTCCCTGCCCCAATGGCAGGAAAGTCATCACCCCCACTTCACAGGCCGGAGCAGTAGCAAGTTGTACTTGTGAGTTTTTCAAGTCCCTTTTATCCGCAGAGGGAATAAAAACGCCCAAACAAAAAGGCTGCAGCGGGGCTCTCTCTAGGACACCGGTTGTCTCAGTACAGTTCAGTTACTTACAATGCACACAGCACCTACAAAAGCTTTGCGCTCCAACAAGGAAGGAAAACAAATCCAGCATGCTCTGCAGAGCTCCCAGCTCGCAGCAGGTGACGCCTGCTCTGTGCACAGAGTATGCACACAAATGGCACCTCATCTCTTCCCCATTTATCCTCCCACCATTGCTACAGGCATTTAGAGGCACTAAATGTTCCTAAATGGAAGGCTCGTGGAGAACACTGAATGCACAGGAGATTTCTCGCTTTTTTGGTGCGAGAGCACTGCTTGTCTAGACGACAAATATTTTTCAAACAAGCACCAACCAACCGTCGCAACTAACAACTGAAATGGCATTTCCCTGCAAAAAAAACCAAACCAACCAAAGAGCAGCCTGTCCAAAGACCCCTCCTCACACACTTGCCATCTTGGCCACAACCATTATTCCATTTGCCAGGTTTACTCACTGAACTGCAGGCTTCTCTTCACCGTGCATCACGTGGACACAAACCGGCTGCTGGTGCAGGGAATTTCACTTGAGCATCTCACCGCAGACGCTCCCTTTCCTGCAAAGATACAAGGAGAAAGGCCTCAGCCCCTCCAAGCAACAACTGGAAACAGCTCCAGAAAATTCCCCACTCAAAAGCAGTTCCTGGAGAGGTACAAAGCAGTCCTTCAAGGTTCACATGTGCTCATGCTGCGGCCTTTGCAGAAACACACTGCCTTTGTGCTCCTGGCTCCTCAGGGCTCTTTTCTATCACCTCCTGGGCACAGCACAATAGCTTTTCGTGCACAAATCTAGGCCCTACCTACCTTCCTCCATCCCCAAATCAAGTCCAACACAGAGTTGTGGTGCAGTGACCAGATGCTGACAAGAGTTCTAAAAGAGCAGAAGAGGGGAAGAGCACATACAGTCAAGGCAGAAATAAAGAAGAGCAGAAGAGAAGGAAAAGAAAGGATACAGGTAAGAAACAAGTGCAGGAGATGAAAAGTGCAGCAGAGAAAACGGTTGGATACAGGCAAGACAGCAAAGCAATGAGGAGACGAGCAGAAGAGGAGAAGAGCAGAAGCATAAAAGAGAGGATGAAGGTAAGAACAATGTGCAGACGAGGAGAAGAGTGGAAAGGGAGGTGAGCCAAGACAGGTAAGACAGAAAAGCAGAAGTGGAGAGCAGCTGAAGAGAAGAAGAGAGAACACGGGTATGGCAGAAGTACAGAAGATGGGCAGAGAGGACACAGGCCAGGGAGAAGTGCAGAAACGAAAAAGAACAGAAGGGAGGAAGAGAGCACAGAAGAGCAGAGAAGGAAAAAAGCAGCAAAGTAGAAGAGCACATAGCGGTCAGAACAGAAGAACAGGAGAGCATAAGATGTGCAAGGAGGACACAGCTAAGTCAGAAAAGCGGATGAGGAGAACAACAGGAGAAGAGAGGATACGGGTAAGAAAGAAAAGCTGAAGAGGAGTACAGATGCAGGAGAGGAGTCGGGATACAAGGAAGAAAGAACTGCAGATGAGCAGAAAGAAAGAGGATAACACGAAGGGAGAAGAGCTGAAGAGCAGGTGAGGAAGAGAGCAGAAAAGGGAAACACAGAAGAGAGAAGAGCAGAAAAGACAACGCTGTCTGCTCTGTCCTCGCTAGCAATGCCCCAAGACACGGCCAAAGCGAGGAGAAAAAGCCCACATGTAAACTTAGCGATGTTCTGGAGGCACACAGGAGCAGTTCACAGTAACAAGCTTGGCATACGCTGCATGGGCCTTGACTCATTCCTGCGCTGTTCTCAGCTGAATCAGGGCTGTCCCACTCAAATCACTCCTTTTCATTGTCACCTGTCTAACAGGCCCACCACAGCTGCCGCCACTTTCAAGAACCAGTAATTAATGCTGGCAGTTTAAGTCCTTAACTACGGGCTGGAGAAACACGGTTTCGGGTGGTGACGACTGGCAATCACTTGGACGGGTATCCTGACTGGGAGGGGAAACCATCCCTAGGGTGAGAACGCACTGCAGGGATGGCAAATCCCCACTGGGACGGGCAGACCCTTGGGAAGGAAGGGCACTGGGCTGCAAAATGCCCATCGGTATGGTCACTGATCGGTGGGATGGGAAACCACTGGGATGGGAAGGATGTCTGGGTATGAAAAGTCAAAGCATGGCAAGCCGGGGGGAAAGGGGCTGAGCCCAACGGTCACAGAACCCCCGTGGGGGGAGGGGCTGCCCCAACGGCCACTCCAGCTGTCATGGCAGGTAAGGCAGCAGGCTCCCCCTGCTCTGACGCTCCAGCTGACCCCAGCACCCCAGATCTCACCCCTGTGACCCCACATCTCACCCCAGAGCTGCAGAAAACACCCCTGTGACCCGGACCTCCCCTCAGCACCCCAGATCCCACTCCTGTGACCCGGATCTCACCCCAGTGCCCCTTCTGGCGCTTCCCCACAGAGAGATTCCCTTGAGCGCTGACGGTGCCTCTGACACCCGACGCCACTTTCTTTGACGCGACTGTGCCGCCACCGGACCCCGCCTGGATGCAGCCCACCGTCCGCGGACCGATGCCAGTACCCCCTCAACCCTTCCCTGTCCCCACTGCCACCCACCTGGCACCTCAGCCCTCTGTCTGGCCCAGGGTACCAGGTGCCTGGGGACAGGCAGCGCAGCTCCCACCCGGGGGGCCGCCCCCACCTCCGGCCGAGCTGCCACCTGTGGGCCTGACCCCAACTGCGGGGCTGTGCTTACCAGTGCTGCTACTCCTACCTGGGGGGCTGCACCCAGGGACGGCTCCACCCCCGCCCCTGCTTCCTGCTCGGGATGTCCCCTGCCAGCAGGGACGCTGCCGCCCCCAGCGGCCGTGCCCCTCCACGCAGAGCCCCCGCAGCCCGCAGGCACCTGCCTGCTGCAGGCCCCCGGACGCCCCGGCCCCCCTCCAGTTCTTTTGCAGGTACCCTCCCTGCAGGAGCAGGTGCTCCCCGTGCCCTGCACCCTGCCCGCCACCTGGGAGCTGCCAATGCAGCCGCCAATGCAGCCCTTCCAAGACGCCGTGCTGCTCTCGGAGGACCAGGGGCACCCAGCACCCACCGACGTGTGCCCCCACCCCGCCACGGCTCCGCTCACCTGCAGCGCTGCCTCGCTGCAATCAGGCCGTGAGTTCAGGGGCTGCAGGGCGGGCGGCAGGCTGTCTACTCCACGGGGCTGTGGGAAAGCTGGCATTGCCCCGCTGGGGATGCTCTTGCTTTGCCAGCAGTGACAACGAGCGCAGACACCCCAGAGGACGTCGCCGAGGACATCGCTGAGCTCCTGATGTGGATCAACGAGGGTGAGTCTGGGGGCAGCAGAGCTGGCGGGGGGGTGCTCGCACCAAGTGGGCGCGGGACAGCTGGCAGTGCCCCTCTGGGGATTTTCTTCCTTCTCCAGAAGTGACATCCAACCCTGGAATCCTGGACGACACCGCAGACATGGATGAGCTGCTCACGTGGATCAACAGCGGTGAGTCTGGGAGCAGCACAGCTGATGGGGGGCTGTCTGCGCTGAGTGCCTGGGGGAAAGCTGGCATTGCCCCACTGGGCATTTCTTCCATTGACCAGAAGAGAGACCCAGCACCAACAGCATTGCCGACAATGTGGAAATCGACCGTTTCCTCACCTGGACTGATGGTGAGTTTGCAGTCTGCACAGATGACCAGTGGGTGTCTGCACCAAGCGGGGGTGGGACGGCTACCATCATCATTCCGGGGGATGTTCTGCCATTCCAGAAGCTGCGAGTGCTCTGGACAGCAGCAAAAGGGAAGAGCTGACGCAGCGCACCACTGCCACAGAACCACTGAGCCCACGTGTCTCCAGCAGCCTCAACTCCTCCTCTTCCATCAGAGCTGCCTCACTCCCCCAGGGCCAGCAGGGAGCTCAGCAACAACACAGATGCTGAACCTGGGCTCCTCAACAACTCACTTGGGCACCAGGCAGCATCCCCTCAGCTGCCTGTGCCGAGCCAACTGGCTGCCCCTGCACCTCCATTGCCAAACACAGCACACCTGATGGAAGAGGTGCTGCAAAGCTCCAGAAACACTAAAGTAAAGCCAATGAGGTGAAGACACTCTCATGGCAAAGCAAAGAATCCCACCAGAGTAAACTGAGAAAAACGCCCCCCAATGTTTAGCCATGGAAGGAAAGAATGGAAATTGAAAAGCAGTGCAGGGCTAGGATGCTAACAAAAACCAAAGAGCAAAGCCAAGCCAAGCAAAACCAGGACAAATCAAAGACAGACGAAGGACTGAAAAGCCAAGGAAAGCAAAGCTGAATCACCTGAAATCCTCACAAACACAAGGCAATACGCTTAGCAAAGCAAAAAGGAGTTCAAAGAACACAAACTGAAGGGAAAAGAAGAGCAACAAAGCTGGAAAAAAAACACGCATTGCAATGCAGAAGGAGCAGTAAACCAAGAGAGGAACAACAGTAAAACAACCAGGACAACATACAGAGCAAACCAACAACAACCCTTCCAGCAGCAGCAGCAACACAAACAAACAATGGAAAAGAATGCAGCATCAGGGCAAAGCACAGACGCCCACCGAGTCTGGAGCAGGCCAGAATCTTAGCATCCGTGCCTGGGAGGAGGGAAGGGAGCTACTGGGCATGCTGCTTCCTCCAGCACAGATGCAATTGCAGGGGCGCCAGCCCAGAAGGAGCCTGCGGCTGCCAGTCAGAGCAAAGCATCTCTCTGCAGGAAGCCAAAGCACTTGCAGTCATGCCAAGGAGGAGGGAAGGGCAGCTACCGGGCATGGATCTCACCTGCTAGCAGAGGGGGATGGCATTTTGTGGGGTGGCAATTCTGGGTGAGAAATTGTATTCTGATAAATTGCTGGAATTGGGAGGAAGGAATTACTGGCGTGGGATTTTTGGGGGGCTGGGAAGTTTTTTGGAGGGCGAAGAAACTATTGGTGGGAGGGAGAAATTGATCGCGAGTGGGAAACTGATCAGAGGGTGGGAATTTCAGGGGGTGGGATCAGAAACTGTTGTTAGGGGTGGGAAAGGGTTGGGAATATTGTCATTTATGCACTGTTTTGTACGCTTCACCATTAAATGCTCTGCATTCCCTTTGCTACACCTCTGCCTGCAGTTGTTCATGCAGCATCAAAGCCCCCCCAGGCTCCCTTGCCCACCTCTGGGGATGTTGGGGTGGCTGCAGGCAGCCAAGAGCTGCCGCTCCTCCAGCTCCTCCAGGATGAACATCTCCATCAGGGGCACCAAGTTTGCACAAGGAGAGTCGAGGCAACGCTGAGAGGCAACGGGAGCTTACTGGGGAACTGCACAGAGCACCAGGGGCGCTGGGGAGCTTTGCTCAGCACTTGTGGAGTTGGGGGGCTCAAACGGTACCCAGGTGGCACATTTTCACCTCACTAACTTCCTGTACCCCAACATCCCACCCAAGGCCCTTTTTTCCAATGAGGGCAGACTTTCTCCTTCCCCCCCCTCCCCAGGCTGCCCGTCTCCCCCCTGGGTGCTGTGTTCCACACATTCCCACCCTGATGCTGTCGCTCAGTGACACGTTTGTCACCCACACACTCACCGTGGGACCTGAGGAGGGCTGGGAGGTGTCCTGTGAAAGCAACCCCAGTGACAGCTCTGGTCCCGAGCCCTGGAAGACACAGCACCTGGAAAACCACCTTCAGCGCTGCTTCATCTCATCACCTTGGCACTCCACCTGGGGGCTGTGTTGAAGCCAGCTGCTTCCCCTGGTGTCTCGAGACTGGGCTCCTCTCTCACTCTGCTCCTCACCCAACATCCAGGACTGCTTTTTACCATGCCCTTGCTGAAGAGCACACAAGGTACACAGGCACACCGCTCTCCCTAGGAAAAACATGGCTCCTAAGCACCTACACTGTAAACCTATAAACACACGTTCAAGTCTCACAGGAATCAGAAATTTTAAAACACACCCAAGGCCCCTGTTTAGCGGTAAGGGTTTGCTGAATTTGGGCTCACAGTATGATTCCAACTCATCACCTTCCTGCCTTCCAACTGCCTTCACTGTGCTTGAAGCTAAGATCCAATGCTTAATGCCCTTACGTAACAGCAGCTACTTCATCAACACAGAGGAAGGAACGTCTCCGTAATTACATCACACACCAGCCAGGCTGCTAAGGATCGGTAACTCTTCTGGGACAGCTTCATCCAAACCTTTCTGGATTAGTCTTGCTATCACCCGGAACTCGTTCCTTTACTGCTTTGAGGAGTCAGAGCCTGAACTCCACTAAAAGGCCACCTGTCATCATGCAATCAGGCACACCTGATACAATCACACCACTAAGGCTCCTCTGCTCAACTCCACTGGTTCCCAGTGCTCACTTAAAAAATAAAATCCACCGCGTGTATCAAACACCAACCCTTCTCTCAGCATCCCAACATCCCTGCCTCGTCCATCTCTGGCCAACAGGACTAAATTCAAAGCAGCGCATGCCACAATTCCACACAAGTAGCTTGAAGCTGTGTTTAATCTTGCAGATCACAGCTCAATAAACACTGGCTCAGCACAAGTCACTCACAGAGAACAGGGCTCTGCTCTCACCAGCACCTGCTATACATCAAGAAGAAACATGCCGAGGAAAACAAACACAGCAGCATACAACTAAGAGTTCCTCCTGATTGTCAGCACTGAAAGGAAAGCAAGCTGAAGAAAAGCCTCAGGGAAATCAGTGCAGGACAGCAAAGCAGGGAGGACAAAGGATAGGGACTGATCCTGAACTGCACAAATTAGAGAACAAGAGCCTTGAGAGGAGTAATTGGTTATACAGTGATAAGAGTTTTACACAAACAATGGGAATCTATTCAGAAACTGTCTAAAGGCTTGTTTCAAATACTGCCAAAATGAGGAATTCTTACACTGCTTTATTCTGCATGAGAATACGAACAGCATCCCACCGGGATGTTTGCTTCTCAGCACAGCACTGTTTGCACAGCAGCAGCAGTACGAAAGGAGGCTGATGTGTTTCATTACGAGCACTAAATTTCTGTTGCAATTCTAAATTGCTAGTGAATGCCATCCCGAGCAGAAATACCTGTTGTTGCGAAAATAAATAAGCAAAAAAAAAAATTAGGTACTAAAAGAAAGAAAAGAAAGGAAAATACAGGAGAAGAAAAGAAACAAGAGAAAATAACACTCAAATGCATTTAAGATGTACAAAAGTGTGCTTACTTCAAAGTCCAACAGGCAAATGGATTCGGGAGTCTCAAGTCCCAAGTCTTGATGTTCCTTGCAGCAAGTGACAAAGTAGTTTTAACAATGGCTGCACTGGGGTAACACCGACACAGAGTTCCACTGCAAACCCAGCCACACAGGGTGCTGGGGACTACCAGCACACTGCACTGTGCATTCCAACAGCACCTGGGCGAAAGCAGAGCACTGAGAAGTCGGCATCTACACCCCAGTGAGGAAGACTAACATCTGATCTAAGCTGGGCTTCATTACAAGAGAAGGAAGGAGCTCTGAAGATTTCTCCCATCTCAGGAGCCTCCTAGCAACTTCTTCCCACCTGTTTGCCTCTGGTTAACAATCTGGAACCAAGCATTTTGAAAAGGCAATGTAACACTCTTCCAGTGATTCCCCCAGCTGTTCTGATTTCCTCCACATCATCTGAAATATTTTAAAGACATGTGGAAGAGTAAGACGTAGTGAGGAGGGAGCCTTACACACACCAATTCATCTCTGGAATATGGGCGTTCCACACATGTACAGCAAGAGTGGTCAAGCACTGCATCAACTGGAGGCAGAAAGTGAAGAGTGACTTACGCTAGAACTGCTCAGATCACGCAGTGCTGCCAGCTGGCGTGCATCGCTGCACTGCGCCTCGCTGTGCTGGGCAGCTTGAGCAGAAACGTCCCAGCACGCACGTACAGCTTCCTTCCATTTCCAGGAAGGTGTCAGACAGCTCCTCAGCTCACTGTCCCACAGAGTGAAGGAGACGATCAAAACTACAAGGCAGAAAAGACTCCTTTTCAACAAAGTCCTGTTAAAAGCCATCGCATGCTTTGAATCAATGTTATTTAGCTGTAGACGAAGTAAGTGGATGATTCAACTGCTACGACCCCCTCAGTTGTTTACGTCTGAGTTGCACAAGGAAGCAGGAGAACAGCCTTAAGTGCCCAAAGCTCTGACCTTCATTTATGGAAGTGAAATCGGCTGAAGTCAGTATGAAAGGAAAAGTAATGGGAAGAATGGAACATAGAACTTCACCAAGGAATTGGCTACAAACATTGTTTTGCACTATGCCAGCTGTGCCTCAGACGATCTGCCCTGAAGGCAGTTGGCATAGCTGGCCCTATCGGCTTTTTCTGAAGGAGAATGTTCTTCTGGAAGTGGCCTTTTGCTTCTCTTTCATACTGCAGTCCTACAATTCTTCATTATTTCACTGTGGGTTGTGTTCAGTTGATCAGGACAAAGCTGATCCATGAATGTTTGAGAAATCTGAATTAGCTACTGAAATACAGAACAACGTTCTCTTACTGAAGAGGCAGAAGATAACTGACCCTGGATATCACCCAGTCTTCTCCAAGGCTTCTAGCTTGGACAAATACATAGCTTGGGCTCCAAGCCTGCTAAGAACCTCAGTACAGAGAAACTCCTCTCCTGTCCACAAATTGGTCACACAGGGAAACCGATACCTGCTAGATGTTCTCTGACTGAGAAAAAAATATTCCATTCTGGATTGCTTCTGTTTGTTTTTTAAATACAAGAAGGATAAAACAATGGGTTTCAAGTGCCTCTCTGCACTGACGGACATCTCCCAAAGCAAATTCCATTTTAATAAAGCTAGAATGAGCCAGCAGATGACTGCTCTTGACAGCTCTCCAATTCTTTGCATTAGATTCCAAGTTCGGGGTTGATTCAAGGTATTTCTAAAGAACAAAGTTCATCAGAGGAAGAGGAATAACCATCCTTCTGTGAAGGCAAGGACATCACTTCTCCAGAACACACTGCTACCTAACCCACTCTCACAGGTGAGGCATTCACATATCCTGCAGCAGTAAAGTTCCAGGAGCTCATTCAGCAGTTCTCTCCTTGATGAAGCTGCTGTATCTAGCTTAGTCTTGAAGTTAGAAAATACACAAGGTTTAACTTCAGGAAGAAAATCCCCATTCAACAATTGGCTTCAGCAGACTTTCATTTGGAGGAGTTAAATCACTTGAGCAGCAGCTGTCAGTGGAATGAAACTGAGAGACTGTGACCAGTTTTGAGGATATGAAAGATTACGACAGGATCAAAAGATGACGAAATACCTCACGTGTCTTTACGACACAGGAACAGCATTCCAAGCTCGTCTCCAGAGGTATTTCCTTCTCTGCCTCCTGAACGTGGAGCACAGCACCTCGGAATGTATGGCGTGAGTGCTACAGTGCAACCAGTCTGATGTTATGGGAGACGTTGTCAGGTCTTGCACAGAGTTCAGCTTGAGCCACATAAAGGTGAAGATGGCTGGAATGAGCTCTTTTATCTTCTAGTAACTTCCCCTATTAAACATGAAGGCAACATATTCATACTTTTTTCCACATCCGTCTTTTCAACAACCGCATTACCTGACCGTTTTTTCACCTCCACTACAGACTGCAGACTTGATGAAATTACTCCAACATCTCAGAAACCAGATAACGGGGAAAAAAAACCAAAACTTCAGAATGTGCCTCTTGTAGATGTTAAGGCTGTCAGACAGTTTGATTCAGAGACAGCACACCTTGATACAGAACAGCTAGTCCATATGGGAACTGCTGAACCACAGTCTGAACCTCTGGCTGATCACCTCAGGTGAGCGCTGAGTCAGCCCTGGGAGCACAGGTGAAGGCAATGCAGCTGTGTGACCAGAAGGGATGGAGCCCGGCTGCACCCCTCCTAGACCCAACTCAGGGCTGACTGCCACTGAGGAAGGATCTCTCTCTGCACATCACTCCTCATGCAGCTTCTTGGGAGCCCACACACCAGTGAGCACTTCTTCATTCATCTCTGATCATCCTTCTCAACGTGATCATCTTACCAGCCGAACTTTTCTATAGACTACATAACATCTGTATACTTACTGATCAGATACAAGCCCAAGTAAAACAACAGAAAGCCAACAGAAGCCCCTGAGAACCTCAATGTCACGGCTGCTGTGCTACATAAAACTAAGTGCCAAAGTGATGTGGTCTGAAAGCATTTACACAGTACTTGAGAATGACAGCACCTCTGACACGCTTCATTTCTAAACTCAAACAACTAAAAAGTAGCTCAGTCACAACAGACAGATCAAGTATTGCCTCTCTAAACCCAGCTTCTTAGACATTATGACTAACAGTTTCCCCACGTTCTTGAAGAGATCAGCCTTAAAATGCACGTGGAAGCCCAGAGCTGCAATTTTCATGCAAGCTAGACAAAAACAGCAAGCAACAAAGAAACTAATACGGAATTGATTTAAGATTCCTGATTCTAAAGTAATTTAGCCAATGAAATATTGAGACGACTAGATGACATGATACAAGCACCCAGTCAGATACAAAAAGGTTCTTCAAGGCACAAAGCAGAGATGAGAAGCTGGAACTTGCCATCAATCTGAGAGCAACAGGATTCCCAGGGAGCAGCCTGGCAGCTTTCTCAACCCAGCAGTTTGCTCTTCCATCACTGGCATCTTCATTACATAACAGCTCCGCAATCTTCAGCACCAGACCTTTCTCTACTGGGTTCAGCTCCACAGAACGCTGGTTTGGAACAGCAGATACAGAGCCTTAGAACTAAGGGCAATGGGAAGGCCATCACAGCAGCTCCAGACGGATCAAGTCAGGACGCAAAAGAAAGGATCAACTGGAAAAAATAAATTAAAAACTGAAGCCAATTCTATCAAACAAATCATCATTTTTTAAAGTACATCATAGTCAGATTTGGCAATTAAAAAATGTACGTCATATAATTTTCCCACAAATAACTCATCTTCTTCTCTGGGTTTAAGGAATGCACTGCACAGGGGCTTTGGTGCTGCACGAATGACTGCAGGCAGAGCAGTATCAAAGTGAACACAAAACATTTCACTGGTTAACGTAGAAAGCAGTGAAAAAGACAGGGCACCTACCCTGGGCTGCAGCCCCTACAGCAGAGTTGCAGGGTTTCAGGCTGCACAAAAAACCCTTTGTCTGATTTTGCCTTCAGAGTGACACAAAATCGAACCCCAGCACTGTCACAGCCTGGGCAGAGCACGGCAAAGGAACCCAAAACCTGTCAGATCCCTTCCTACACCCCTCAGATCAAAGAACTCTCTCTCCCTTCAGCAATCCCACCCTCTCTCCAGGGGCCAGGACCACAGGGCTCTTCCTCGCTCAAGAACTCTCCATCCAATTCCCAAAGCTCTCGCACAACTCAGGCATCTTCAGCTTTGTCATACCAGCAATGAACTGGATGCACCCACCTGTCACAGCTTCATAAGAAGGCACAACTCCCTGCTGAATTACCTGACGGGCCAGGGGTGTCACACTAACAGGGAGAAAAGAAGAAAAAACAACTGAGAGATGCAGAAAAAGGCCCTCGCTAAACTAAGGACCTTGGGGCTCTCTCTAGGACACCGGTTGTCTCAGCACAGTTCAATTACTTACAGTGCACACAGCACCTACAAAAGCAACACAGAATCACAGAATAGCCAGGGTTGGAAGGAACCTCAAGGATCATGAATCTCCAACCCCCCTGCCACATGCAGGGCCACCAACCTCCACGTTTAATGCTAAAGCAGGCTGCCCAGAGCCCCATCCAACCTGGCCTTGAACACCTCCAAGGACTGGGCATCCACAGCCTCTCTGGGCAGCCTGTTCCAGCACCTCACCACTCTCTGGGTAAAGAATTTCCCCCTGAGGTCCGACCTCAATCTCCCCTCCCTCAACTTAAAACCATTTCCCCTCGTCCTGCACATATCAACCCTTCCAAAGAGTTGATTTCCCTCCCCTCTGTAGGCTCCCTTTAGGTACTGAAGGCTGCAATGAGGTCACCCTGCAGCCTTCTTTTCTCCAGGCTGAAAAAGCCCAGCTCCCTCAGCCTGTCCTCATAGGGGAGCTGCTCCAGTCCCCTGATCATCCTAGCGGCCCTCCTCTGGACCCTCTCCAACAGCTCCCTGTCTTTTTTGTACTGCGGGCTCCACACTTGGACGCAGCAGTCCAGATGGGGCCTCACATGGGGCATCGCGCTCCAACAAGGAAGGAAAACAAATCCAGCACGCTCTGCAGGGCTCCCAGCTCACAGGAGGTGACGCCTGCTCCGTGTGCAGAGCATGCACACAAATGGCACCGCATCTCTTCCCCATTTATCCCCCCACCATTGATACAGGCATTTAGAGGCATTGTGGAAAGGCAATGGAAGGCTCGTGGAGAAGACTGGATGCACAGGAGATTTCACACTTCCTCGGTGCGAGAGCACAATAGGATTCCAACTCGTCACCTTCCTGCCTTCCAACTGCCTTCACTGTGCTTGAAGCTAAGATCCAATGCTTAATGCCCTCACGTAACAGCAGCTACTTCATCAACACAGGGGAAGGAACGTCTCCGTAATTACATCACACACCAGCCAGGCTGCTAAGGATCGGTAACTCTTCTGGGACAGCTTCATCCAAACCTTTCTGGATTAGTCTTGCTATCACCCGGAACTCGTTCCGTTACTGCTTTGAGGGGTCAGAGCTTGAACTCCACTAAAAGGCCACCTGTCATCATGCAATCAGGCACACCTGATACAACCACACCACTAAGGCTCCTCTGCTCAACTCCACTGGTTCCCAGTGCTCACTTAAAAAATAAAATCCACCGCGAGTATCAAACACCAACACGTTTCAGTGGCACAGTCCAGCGCAGAGCTACGATCCCAAAGCCATTATAAGGTTTGATTTCACAGTACTGTGTGGGACGATTCAACTGCTTCAAGTTCAAACAGGATGCAAGTGATTGATTAATCCATACATCTCAGTGACCTCAAAACCTGATGTCTTGGAAAAAAAATGAACAGAACAGACCATCTCAAATAGCAGATAATCAATCTACAGAACTGAATCCAGCAGGCAGTCCTGTGGACAAATTCTGTGCTGGCAGCAGAGTCTTTTTACGACCATTAGGAACTTCCCTAGTTACAGAGCTACCACAACTTGGGCACTAAATACACAGACCCACCTGGGAGAACAGCAAATAAAGAAGCAACTTACCCTCCCCTTATCCAACTCCGCTCTCACATTCACAAGTGCAACTACAAGTTTAAATGCCATGAAAACATGAGGGGATAAAAAAATCATCTGGTATTTTCCAGGGAAACCACCAAGATCATACAATCACAGAATGTTCCAAGTTGTAAGGGATCCACAAGGATCACCAAGTCCAACCTGATGCTCCAGGAAGGACAACCCAAACGCAGATGGTCTTTCAGCTGCAGCAGCTCAGGACCAGGCCCACAGCCCTGGGGAGCCTGGCCACAACCACTGGTACCAGATGCAGCAAGCACAGGGAGCAGGAAGGCAGGCACAGCACAGCAAGCAAAGTCCAAACCTGAGAGGGGGCCTGCTTACAGAAATAAACCCGCGGCCTGCCTACACAAAGCCCACACCTTTCACACCAGTAAAGCTCCACCATTTTGACAGCCAAAACACAAACTGCCATTTCACTTCTCATGGCTCTTCCCTGAACTCCCAAACAATTACTTCAGGTCCCCTATCGCACTGCAACTGCTCATAACCAATATTATATCTTTCATGACATAAGCAGCTCACTTCTGCTTGGTAGCAGTGACAGTCCATTCCCATTTCATCCCTTCATCTGAGGAAAATCACAGCTAGCTTTCTGACAGCTTCCTGCATAATTCCCCCAAAAGCACCCAGCATTTCTGAAAAGTGAAAAAAGGAAGGTTCATGGAAACGGGCACACAAGGCTTGCAAGAGATGCAGTGCTCCAGATCAGAGACAGGACCACCACAGTGCCGAAACACAGTTTATCACTAAAGGAAACACTGAAGAGCATATTTGCAACTTCTGCATAAGCTGTAATGATTCAGCATGTTTAATTTTCTTATCATTCAGTTGGAAAAAGCAAATGCTCTCACACATCAACTAGCAAGCACTAGGACGAGCCATCCATCTGGTTTTCACAATGACAGAGGGACACGGCCGCGACGCACGGCCGCCGGCCCCACGCAACACAAAAAGCAAATCAGAAAGAAAGCCATCACGCACGTTGCAGCAGAAACACCAGCATAATATCAGTATATTACAGAGGCAGGAAAAGAACTGCTCACCATCTCCAAGGATTTACACCGACAGTTCAAACTCCATGGCAGAGAACCTTCCAGAACCAAGCCCTTCTCCTGTGCCAGTCAGCCCTTAAATGAGCTCCAAGAGAGGCAGCCAGTCTCCGCTCCTTCCGGCCACAGAGCTCCATTGCCTTCAGCTGCGCTCCCAGGGCTCACCGGCTGCTTTCCTCAGCTGCTCCGTCTGGGGTTCAGGCTGTGATTCAACACTTCTCATACAGCAGAGCAAAGGAAACAATTGCAAAGCAAAGCTATCAATGAAATAAAAACAACAAAGAGAACTAGCAGGATTCTAGGAAATAACAGAAATCCGCAGGAAGCGATGCAGAAGGCAGGATTTTTGTCTGCGTGTCTGTCTGAAGGAAACAGCTGCAGATGTTGAGTGCTACTCGATGCACCCATCGCAGACAGCTGCACAGAACAGGGCTCCTGCAGCACTGACAGCTCCTGTCAGCTTCACTATTAAAGCCATCTGATCAACTTCCAATTCCGTATTGCGAGTGCTTCAAAGGGAGAAGCACTAAAGCTGGCAAACACACAATGGCTCCAGATAACAAACACCAAGTCAAATGGCACTTCAGGCAATCAGCATCCTTAAATTACTGCACCTCTTTTGCTTTACCCAGAGTGGCTTCTAGCTCCTTTACAGCTTCTTCTCATTCCTGGAGCTGGAAAAACCAAGGGAAAAATGTTGAAATGGCTCCAAAACTCGTTCAATTTTCACTTAATATCAATCTTGCCCTGCAGGTGGGTTTTTGCTCTACACAACATCTGACTAGTTGGAAGAGCCCTAATGGCCATCTACATTCAGCATCCACTCACGCTATTCTTCCCTTAAAGCAGGACTCTGAATCCTGATGTCCCCTGTACACTTTGGAAACTGGAGAAAAAAGAGGCAAAGTAGAGAATAAAAACTAAAAAGCAACACACGTCACTGTAGAGAAAGCCAATAGGAAAGCTCACCATAGGAGGACTGTGAGCACCCCGTGTCACACCGCAACGTTTGGGGCAGCCCTCTGGGGACCCCGTCTGTGCCCTCACCCACAGAAAACTTGGTTCCCATGGGGTGGGGTTGACACCCCTCTCTTTTGTAATTAAGGTTTACTTCTTGATCATGGGGATTTGGGGATATCCTCCACATTTAAACAATAAGGGGCGGAGGAGCGGCTGTGGGGCTCCATATGTCACACTGGGGGTAAACTTTGGGGACAGAGGTCAGTGCAGCATCCTGGCCCCCTAGCCCCTATGGCCCCGCAACCACTGCAGCCCCATCTCATAGCCATTCCTTATCCGTGTCCCACAACTTTATCCCATCCCCATACCCATTATATCCACCCCACAACCATCTCAAACCCATCCCATATCCACACCCCACATCCTATCCCCATCCCTTATCCTATATCCATATCCATTCCAAATCCGTATCTCCACATCCATCCCACATCCATTCTGTACACTTATCCCATGCCATTATCATCCCAATCCCATCTCATATCCTTATTTCATCCCCAATCCATCCCGCGTTCTTCCCACGTTGATCCCACGTCCACCTCTAGCCCAGCCCATATATATTCCATTTTCTGATCTCCCATTCCGCATCCACCCCGTATCCATATCCCCACACCCCGATCTTAAATTTCACATCCCACTGCCAAATCCAACCTCCTAACCACAGCTCCCAACCCCAATTCCAAACCTCCTTCCCAGTCCCACGTCCCAGCCCCAACTCCTACCTGTCAATCCCAGCCCCATCTCCCACCCCCTTGTCATGGTTTTATGATTTTTGGTCATCAGTATTCCAACACCATAACATCATGTAATGCACTGGGGGGGTTTGACTTCTGCCGACTGTTCGTCCGACGGAGAAGAACTACATTTCTTCAGGAGGCTTTGTGGTCAGCAAGGAGATAGAACTCTGGGCAAGGTCACCTGATCCTTCTTCTTCACCATCTGCGCTTCGCCGTCTGCTTTTCTTCAGTCACTCAACTGGACTGCACGTCTCACCTCAACATTGTGGTGAGGTCTGGATTTGCTCTCATCTTCTCTCTCTGTTGCCTGCATGCAACTTCCCACTTCTTCCATCTTTAGTTCTTCTTCTGTTGAACTCCTATCTTGTTTCTCTTCCTCTCTTGCTTTGTAATCCCTTCTCTGCTACACTCTCCCTTCTTTTTTCTGTCTTTTCTAACTTCTCCTCTCTGCTGCCTTCCTGTCCTCTATTTCTTTCCTGTACTTTTCTCTCTCTTCTCTGCACCATTATTTCCCTTCTTTCTCCTGCATTTTTGTGCTCTTCTGTTCCCTCCTCTCAGTTCTCCCTTGCCCATTCCTTCTCTTTTCTTTTTCTCCTCACTCTTCTGCCCTGTTTATGCTTTACCTCATCCTGCTCCTTTGTTCATTGTATGTGCTCCTGCTCTGCAGCTCTTTTTCGTGCTGCTTCACTCCTCTATCGTCTGCTCTAGTTTTGTGCTGTTCTTTCTTCCCTCTGTCCTCAGTCTTTCATTTGCATCTGCACTCCTCTTAGGCTCTTCCTTCGTCACTGCTCTTTCCTCTGCATTTTCACTCTCCTGTTGCTTCTTCCCTGCTTCCTCACTCCTCTTTCCTTTGCATCTACGCTCCGATTGTACTTTCTTCCCTGTTTCCACACTTCTCTTTATTCTGCATTTGTGCAGCTCTTCTGCTGTTTTATATTTTGTTTACATTCATCTTCTTCCTTCTGGGACTGCACTCCTCTTGGGCTCTCTTTTCTTCCCTGTATTCTCCCTGTTCTTTCCTCTGCATTCTCACTCCTCTTCTGTTCTTCTTTCCCTGCTTCCTCATTCCTCTTCTTTCTCCTTCTGCTCTCCTCTTCTGCTTTTCTTTCTCCTGTCTCCTCGCTCCATAAGAGCTGCTCGCTCTTATGCATCTGCTCTTCTTTTCTGCTCTTCTTTCTTCCTTCTACCATCCATACTTTTTCCTCATCTGCACTCTTTCTCTTTCCTCCCTGTCTCCTTATTTGTCTTCTCCACCTGCTCTACTCTTCCGCATCTGCATTCCTGTTGTTCTTTCTTCATCCTATCCCCACTCCTCCTCATATATATATATATATATATATATATATATTTTTTTTTTTAATTGCGTTTTACCAATGCTTTCACCTGTACTTGCATTTCTGGTTGGTCTTCCTCCCTGCATCTGCACTGCTCTTCTATAACTGATCCCTGCTTCTGCTGTTCGTTCTTCCTGGTTTCCTCACTCCTCTTCTGGATATGCACTCCACGTGTACTGTTCTTTCTTCTCTGTATCCCGACTGCTTTTTCTTGCGCATCTGCTCTCCTCTTTCTTCCCTGTTTCCTCACTCCTTTTCCTACTGCATATGTACTCCAGTTCTATTCTTCCCTGTATCCTCTCTGCTCTTTCACTTGTATATGAACATTTACTCAGCTATTCTTTCTTTTCTGTTTTGTCATTCCTTTTTCTTCTGCATCTGTGCTGCTTTTTTGCTGATCGTTTTTCTGTGGGAATACAAGGAAAGTTGTTCAGAGCAGCAGCTGTGGAGCAAGATAAACAGCATGAGAACCAAGGACACCTCTAGAAGAAGAAAGAACGTCTCACTGCTCTGATTGAAGAAGCACCTGCATGAAAGGTTGAAGAGTGTAGAATGCTCTGTTGTCATGTAAAGGTGGATGGGAAAGTTGTTGGGGAGGGTTGGAGAATTAGAAATAGAAAACTTGTGAAAGTATATAAGTCATGTGAGAACTTCTAATAAATGATTTGGATAGTTCCCATCTGAGCATGTGCATCAGACACTGTAGGTTTAGGGGGTGAGAATGTTTGATTTGTGACTGGAGATGAAAAGCAAGAGGTAAAAGGGAAGGGTGGATTTAGGGGTTGGAAATGTCAGCTTTGGAGTAGGAAGTGGAAAGTAAGGAAAGGTGAGATGGATTTAGTAGTTGAAAATTCCTGATTTGAGGTCAGAGGTGAAAAACGAGGGAACAGTGCACAGATTTTGGGGTTGGAGAAGATTAGATTTTGATTTGGAGGGGTAAAGGAGGTGTTGCTGTGAAAGGCGGATGGATTTGGAGCCTGGAAATGCGAATTTTTGGGGTTGCAGATTAAGTCTGGGAGGAGGGAGAGAGTGGGGAAGGAGGATCCTTTGGGAATACATTTTGAAAGGAATGGACTTGGATTTCAATGCCAAAGTGGTAATTTTGGCTCAATGGGACACAGCATGTCATAGAACGAACTGTCCCTGGCCATAAAGCACCATCTTCACAACTGAGCAGAGGGGAGTCTAGGATGGTTTGGACAGTTACCCTGAGAACTGCTGTTACCCCACTGACATCACAGCAATGAAGGGGGGGCTCCGCCTGCTCTGCTTTGCCTCATTGTTTTCCTTTCTGCCTTAAGCAGGACATCCATTTGAGGGCCCCACTGCACCCCATAAACACTCATAGGTGGGCAATGGACCCCACTGATCCATTCTACTCCATGGAACCAATTCCCTCCTGTAAGAGGAGGACCCATGTAGCAAGGACCCATTTCACCCCACATCCCGTTAAAAGGGGACAATGCTCCACCATACCCAAGATCCATCCTGTACCACAGACCCCATCAATGCTCCCCTGCTACAACTTGCAGCCATTTCCTTGGGTCCTGTTTGTTGCCTGGGAGAAGAGGTCAAACCCCTCCTCATCACAACCTCCCTTCAGGTAGTTATAGAGAGCAATAGTGTCTCCTCTGAGCCTCCTCTTCTCCAGACTGAACAATCCCAGCTCCTCCAGCCACTCCTCGTAAGGCCTGTACTCCAGACCCTTCACAAGTTTCGTTGCCCTTCTCTGAACACATTTCAGGGCCGCAATGTATTTCTTGCAGTGAGGGACCCAAAACCAAATACAGTACTGGAGGTACAGCCTCACCAAAGCTGAGTACAGGGGATGATCACCTCCCTGCTCCTGCTGGCCACACTATTTCTAATGCAGGCCCAGATGCCATTGGCCCTCATGGCCACCTGGGCACACTGTGCTCTTCTGTTCAGCCAAGCATCAACCACCACCCCCAGGTCCCATTTTTCTTCGCAGTTATCCAGCCAGTCAGCCCAAGCCTGCAGCACTGCATGGGGTTGTTGTGCCCAAAGTACAGGACCCAGCACTTGGCCTTGTTGAACCTCATCCCATTCACCTCATCCCAGCGATCCAGCCTGTCTAAATCCCTCTGAAGGGCCTCCCTACCCTCAGGCAACACCACCTCCCAACTTGGTATCATCAGCAAACTTACTGAGGGTACACTCAATGCCCTCATCTGGGTCATCAGTAAAGATATTAAACAAGATGGGCCCCAGTACCAACCCCTGAGGGACACCACTTGTAATGGGCCACCAGCTGGACTTAGCTCCATTAACCACTACCTGCTCCAGCCAGTTCCTTACCCAAAGAAGGGTATAGCTGTCCAGGCCACAGGCAGCCAGTTTCCACAGGATAATACTGTGAAAGATCGTGACAAAGGCTTTGCTGAAGTCTAGGTAGAATACATCAACAGCCTTTCCCTCATCTACCAGTCTGGTCACCCAGTTGCAGAAGGAGATGAGGTTGGTCAAGCATGATCTGCCTTTCATGAACCCATGCTGGCTGGACCTGATCCCCTGGATGCCACGCATGTATCGTGTGATCTCACCCAAGACAATTTCATCTGTAACTTTCCTGGTACTGAGTCATACTGACAGGTCTGTAGTTCCCCAGATGACCCCAGAATGGGTCACTGAGGGTGCTGGTGTCAGCCTGTGTCTCTTTACTGAGCTCCCTGCTGCTCCTGGGGAAGTCAGGGAGCTCAGCAATGAAAGGAGAGGAGTCAAGACTGCTGGGGACATCCAGGCTCGGTGGCTCCGTGGCTGCAATCCACCTCCTCAGCTCTTCACTTTTGCAGCTGTCCAGTTCCAGCAGCAGCTGGTCCCCAGGATTTTCCTCTTCCACCTTGTCAGCATCTCTGGCCTCCTCCCTTTTGAGAACAGGCAGGTCCTGGTTCTCCTGTGGGACCTCCAGAGTGCTCAGCTCTTCTGAAAAAGCAAGAACATGCCCCAGAATTATGATGGCAGCCTTCCTGCACCCTCTCGCTGCAGACACCCACCCACCAGCTCTATAGCCCCCAAGCTCACTGCTGTTGATCCACATGAGTAAATTGCCAATTTCCGTGTAGTCTTCCAGAATGTCAGTGCTTGCTGTCACTTCTGGGAAAGGAAGAAAATCCCCAGCGGAGCAATGCTGGCTTTTGCTCACCCACTCAGTGCAGACACCCTCTTGCTAGTTCTTTGTTGCCCAGACTCACCATCATCAATCCAGGTGAGCAGATTACTGATGTCTGAGAAGTCATCCAGAGTATCTGTGCCAGTCATTGCATCCAGAAAAAGGAAGAACATCCCCAGTGGGGTAATGCCAGCTTTCCCATAGCCTCACAAAATAGACAACCTGCTGCCCGCCCTGCAGCCCCTGAACTCACCTCCTGATTCCAGCGTGGCAGCACTGCAGGTGAGCGGAGCCGTGGCAGGGTGAGGGCAAACATCGGTGGGCGCTGGGTGCCCCTGGTCCTCCAAGAGCAGCACGGTGTCTTGGAAGGGCTGCATCAGCAGCTCCCAGATGGCAGGCAAGGTGCAGGGCACGGGGAGCATCAGCTCCTGCAGGGAGGGTACCTGCAAAAGAACTAGGGAGGTGGGGGCAGCCAGGGGTCTGCAGCAGGCAGGTGCCTGCAGGCTGTGGGGGCTCCTCGGGGAGCCCTAGGCCACAGCCACATTGGCTGTTGGGGTGGCAGCATCCTTACCAGCAGGGGATGTCCCTGGTGGTGGACAGAGGCAGCGGGGGGCAGCATACCTGTGTACAGTCCCCCAGGTAGAAGCAGCAGCACCGGTAAGCGCAGCCCCACAGTTGGCAGCTGAGCCAGAATTGGGGGCAGCCCCCCAGGTGGGAGCTGCACTGCCTGTGCCCAGACACCTGGTACCCCAGGCCAGACAGAGGGCTGAGGTGCCAGATGGGTGGCAATGGGGACAGAAAAGGGTTGGGGTGGTACCGGCATTGGTCTACAGATGCTAATTGGCACTTGAGCTACAACCTATGGCATGCATCTCTTGTGTCCCTGTGCTGAGTAGGGGAAAGTGTACTTTGCCCAAGAACCACCCACACCTCCAAAAAAATTTGTTATTTTCCTCCCCACACATGCTGTTTTTTTCCCCAAACATACAGCCTTTCCTCCCCTAAAACATGCCATTTTCCATCCTAAAATTACTGCATTTCCCCTGCTAAAATACGCTATTTCCACACCTAAAAGTATAGTCTTTCCTCCCCTAACGTACACCATTTTGCACTCCAAAAATACCACCTTTTCTTGCTCAAAACAAGCCACTTTCTACCCCCAAAAATACTGCCTTTCCTACCCAAAAATTCACCTTTTTTTCCTACTGGAAATACCACCTTTCCTCCCCAGTAATACGACATTTCCTGCACATGTAAGGGAAGCAGATGCTTTTCTCTACAGCAAACCAAGAGAGTAAGTCAGTGAGAGGAAGAGCAGCTGGTATCCTACCTGGAGCTCCATCTTTCTTCCTTTGTGTGCACTGTTCTCTGGAAATGCTGCTCCTCTTCTCCTCTCTGGAAACCCAAAACAGCTGTCTACAGAACCAGAACAGGAACTCTTGATTTCCTGTTGTTTTACATGATGTTCTGATGCACATATACATATAACAATATACATATATAACAAAAATCACATCACCACAGCAGAAATCCTTCCCCAGTGGCAGCCAGCCCTTAAATGGGGTCCAGGAGAGGTGCAGCCAGGCTCCACCCCTTCGTTACACAGCTGAATCGCCTTCACCCGCGCTCCCACAGCTGGCTCGGTCCTTGCCTCAGGTGTTCAATCAGTGCTCCAGGCCCTGACCCAACAGCTCCTATTCGCAGGACTGTGAAATGACAAATGTGGGTCACTGGGAGCACTGGGTGTGCAAATACTGGCATCCAGGACAGACTGGGACTGAAATTTGTGGGTTACAGCAGGTCATCCGTCCATAAACCTCCCTTAGCAGGCGTTCATTTTCCTCGTTATCACTGTTCTGTGGCTGTACCGGCACTTTAAGGGCACGGCCCCAAGCTGTGATGGAGCACCTGGGGGGGGGTGCGATCCTGCAGCACAGCTGGGGGCAGTTTGGCTGTGGGCGGGGCTGAGCTGGGCTCCACCCCTCCCTGGCCCCATTTAAGGGCTGGGAAGCTCAGGGGCTGCATCCAAACCTGGGGAGTGCTGCCTTGGGAGTGTGGGTGAGCCCTGCTCCTTGGGAGGGGGTGGGAGATCTGTTCTCTGTTGCAGGGCTGTGATCTCTTCTTTTCTGGGGGATCCTGACTGTGTTGAAGGGCTGGCAGCTATCTGCACCTGGAAGCTGCTTCCTTTGAGCATGGTGAATATTGGCCCTTGGAATGGGGTAAGTGGTTCCATTTGTATTTCAGGGTTGTGATCTCCCCTTCTGGGGGTTCCTTACCTCATTTAACCGCTGGTACCTGTAAGGGCAGCACCTGAATCTGGAGACTGCTTTCTCTGGGGGGTGGGGTGAGCCCTCAGGATGGAGTGATTCCTGCTTTATTTCAGAGCTGTGAGCTCTGCCTTTCTGGGGGATCTCAAGCTGGGTCAGAGCAGCTGTATCTGCTATGTGTGTTGTTTCTTCTTTAATGGTTCTCATCTCATAACTTCCAGTCTGGGGCCCTAAATGTGGTTCATCTGCTCCCACGTCATCCCACTTCATGGCTGTAATTCATAGTGTTGTTAGTTGCATTCATGCAGAATTTTTTAAGGGCATTCTGTGCATTATTATCATGTATTAAATTATGTTCTGCATCTTTTCTGACTTCAGTTTGCTACCTGATGGGGTTCAAGGATTGCCTCGGCTCCTCCAGTCAGTGGTGTGAGATCAGTGCAGCAGGTAATGAACACCATGAGCCCCATGTTGGTGCATTGCTTGTATGCAGGTCAGTTTGCGATGTGGTCCATCTCCCCCACAATGATCACCCAGCTGGATCAGGCTGCTCAGAGCCTGACCCAGCCTCACCTTGGAAGGGGCAGTGCATCCACCACGTCTCTGGCAATCTGTTCTACTGTCTCACCACCCTCACTGTGGAAGACATTTTCCTTATATCTAATCTCAATTTTCCCTTGTTCTTTCCTTTAGGTATTGAAAAGCTGTTACCAGGTCACCTTGGAGCCTTCACTTCTCCAGGCTGAACAGCCCAGCTCTCCTCACAAGAGAGGTGTTCTGTACCTCGGTTCCTATTTGTGGCTGTGCTCTGGATGTGCTCTCAAAGCTCCATGCCTCTCCTGCACTGAGGGCTCCACATCTGGATGCAGCACTGCAGGTGAGGCCTCAGCAGCGCAGAGCAGAGGGGTGCGGGTCGCTTCCCTTTGTCTGCTGACCACAAATCCTTGGATGCAGCCCAGGATACGGTTGGCTTTCTGGGCTGGAAGGGCCATTGCTGGCTTGTGTCCAGCTCCCACCCACCAGTACCCCAGGTCTTATGGGTCCTTTCATCCTCCAGCATGTTTTGGTGGTGGGTGTTCCCTCATCACAGCTACTGACCCTGCACTTGGATTTGTGCCCGCTGCTCAGCCTCTTGAGGTCCCTCTGGATGGCGTTCCGTCCCTCTGGTGTGTCACTGTACTCTGCAGCTTGGCATCATTAGGATGCACTTAACCCCACTGTCACTGATGAAGGGGCAATCCCAGATGTTTATACAAACTAGGCATAGAACCCCTTGAGAGCAGCCCTGGGGAGGATATGGAGATCCTGGTGGATGAGAAGCTAGACGTGAGCCAGCAGAGCACGCTTGCAGCCCGGAAGGCCAACTCTATCCTGGGCTGCATTAAAAGAGGAGTGGCCAGCAGGGAGAGGGAGGTGATCATCCCCCTCTACTCAGCTCTTGTGAGGCCTCATCTGGAGCACTGCGTCCAGGCAGTGGAAGGCCGTGGAGGGCCAGCACACGAAGGCCGTGGAGCTTTCAGAGGGGATTCAGAGGAGGGCACTGAGATGACTGGAGAGGGCTGGAGCATCTCTCCTATGAAGAAAAGTTGAGGGAACTGGGGTTGTTTCTCCTGGAGAAGAGAAGGCTCTGGGGAGACCTCATTACAGCCTTCCAATACTCAAAGGGAGTGCATAAGTAGGAGGGGGAATGGCTGTTTACGAGGGTGGACAGTGGTAGGACAAGTGGGAGTGGTTTTAAACTGAGACAGGGGAGGTTTAGGTTGGTTATTAGGAGGAAGCTTTTCACACGGAGGGTGGTGAGGCACTGGAAGAGTCACTTCCAGGAGGATCTGCTTCATGGTTGTTGCCAACACAGAGGTGAGACTGACATGTTGGTAGTTCCTGGGGTCATCCTTTCTATCTGTAATAACAGAAGTGCTGCTGCCTTTTTTCCTACTCACCAGGGACTTCACCTGGCTGCCACGACTTCTGAAATACCATTGAGAGTGGCTCGGTGTCTGCAGGGGTAAATTCCATCAGAGCTCTGGGACCCATCTTGTCAGAACGGAGAGGCTCCTGGAGGTTCGGGTCCTCAGGTGGTCCAGAACCTGATCTTCCATCACAGTGTGGGATGGGGAAGGGAGTTGGTGGGACTGGAATTGCTTCCTCAATCCCCACCTACCAAACCAAAGGTGAGAGCTGTGAAGATGAATGCAAGAATATTGTTGGATACCTGAGCTTTCTCCTTGACTGTTGTTCCCAGCTGCAATGCTGCTGGTGAGCAGAATTGTGCAGAGAGTGCAGCCACATTGCTCTGAGAAAGGAGCACTGCAGCGCACATTTGTGAAAGAGGTGCTACCCTATGTATGTGGGGCAGTGCCTTCATTACTGTGTTGTGTCCCACAGGTGGCAGGGGAGCTGTGGTGCTCCTGAATGCCGTAACGACTGCATGGAGATGTGTGGGTCTTCATGGGAACAGCAAGGAACCTGAATCTGCATTTCCTGAAATGCCCCGGAACCTCGCTTTGCTGGCTGGTAATTGTCTGCCCAGCAGGTAAGGGCAATGCACACCCACCAGTGTTTACCCACTCCATAGCAGGCACAACATGGTGCTCCCAGAGCTCTTAATTGCACTTTATGGTGCCCGGAAGGCTGCTTGTCCTTTTCTTTCTGTGTTTTCCTTGTCTCTGGCCTTCCACTGCAGTGTTTTCCTTCCCTTTGCCCTTGCTGTTCCCTATTACATCCTCTTGTCCTCCAGTTTTTGTGTTCCATGCTGTGTTCTCTTGGCTGTTGCCCTTGGCTTTTTTTACCACATTCACTTCAGCATTCAGTTTTGGCGTTCCCTGATGCATTCTCCTGCCCTCCTGTTTTGGCGTTTCTTGCTGTGTTCTCTTGGCCATCATCCTTGGCATTTCCTTCCACATTCTCTTGGCCCTTGCCCTTGTCTGGGCATTCCCTTGCCCTCCTGTTATTGTGTCCTGTGCCACATTCTCTTGGCCATTGCCCTTGGCTTTCCGTAGTCACATTCTCTTCAGCATTTGGTTTTGGCGTTCCCAGCAGCATTCTGTTGCCCTCCTGTTTGGCATTTCCTGCCACATTCTCTTGGCCCTTGCCTGGGCATTCCCTGCGGCGTTCTCTTTGATCTCCTGTCTCGGTGTTCCAGCCACATTCTGCATTGGCCTTCTTTGCTGCGTTCTCTTTGGCCTCCTATTTTGGCACTTCCTGCCATGTTCTCTTGGCCCTTGCCTGGGCATTCCATGCCGTGTTCCCTCGGCCTTTTGTTTTGGCATTTTGTGCCAAAAATTCTCTTGGCCTTTGCCCTTGGCCTTTCCTGCTGTGGTCTCTTTGGCTGTATATTTTGGCCTTTCCTGTTGCGTTCTCTTTGCCCTCCCCTTGGCTTTCCATTGATGCTCTCTTTGCTTTTGCCCTTGCCTTAGCTTGGCTGTTTGCTTTGCATTTACCTTGGCTTTCCACGGGAGTTCTGCTTTCCTTTGCCTGCCCTGGGTGTCCTGCTTCCCTTTGCCTTTGGCACTCTAGCATGAGCTGGGAGGCAGCATTAATGTTATCCTTGACCTAAACCCACAGCTGAATGGGAGTTTTAACGATAACTGTGTTAACCTGCAGCGTATCTGTAGACCAAACCCTTAACCCAGTGTTGAAAATGTCTCTTACCCTGAATGCTGCTGTAAAAATAATGCCCCATGTTTTGTCAAATAACCATAATTGTAGTGCAGAATACTGATGTTAGACCATCTGTAACTTCAACCCTATCAATACCGTTAATTCTATCCCTAACATTAATTATAATTAATTACAACCCTTGTGTCATCATTACAGCATTGTGCTCAGGGTGCAGCCCCACACATGCGGGGCAGTGCCTTCATTACTGCGTTGTGTCCCACAGGTGGCAGCAGAGTTGCGTTGCTCCTGAGCGCTGTAAGGAAAGCACGGAGATGCGCGGCTCTTCAGGCAGCAGCAAGGAACCGGAATCTGCATTTCCTGGGATGCCCGGAACCCCGCTTTGCTGGCCGGTAATTGTCTGCCCAGCAGGTAAGGGCGATGCTCACCCACTGGTGTTTACTCATTACTTAGCGAGGCACAAGGTAGGGTTCCCAGAGCTCATTTCTGCACTTCACGGTGACCTGGATGCTGCCTGTCCTTTTCTTTCTGTGTTCTCCTTGCCTCCAGCCTTTCACTGCAGCGTTTTCCTTGCCCTTGGCTTTCCCTGCTGCGTTCTCTTGCCCTCCTGTTTTGGCGTTCCCTGTGGCATTCTCTTAGCCATTTGCCCTTGGCCACCTTCACTGCGTTTTCTTTGGCCTTCGGCTTTGGCCATCTGTGCCACATTCTCTTGGCCTTTGTCCTTGGCCTTCTTTGCCACGTTCACTTTCCCTCCCGTTCTGGCGTTCCCTACAGCATTATTTTGGCCTTCAGTTCTGGCGTTCCCTGCGGCGTTCTCTTTGGCTTCTATTTTGGCGTTCCCTTCCATGTTCTTTTTGGCCATTGCTCCTGGCCTTCTTTGCCCATTCCCTTTGGCCTCTTGTTTTGTCTTCTCCTACAGCATTCTCTTTGCCTTTGGTTTTGGCCTTTTGTGCCACATTCTCTTTGGCCATTGCCCTTGACCTTCTGCATCAGCCTTCCCTGCAGCGTTCTCACGGACCTCGCCCTCCATTTTGGCCTTCTGCGTTGATCTCTTTGGTCTCCATTCTGGCGTTCTCTGCGGCCTTCTCCTTGGGCCTGACCTCTGACGCGACCTTTGGCGTTCTCCATGTCTTTCCCATCCCTTTGCCCTCTGTTTTGGCGTTCCCTCGGCTGTTCTCCTTGCCTTTTGCTCCTGCCTTTGCCTTGGCCTTCCCTAACGGTCACTCTAACCCTAATCCTGATGTAGCTAACCCTAACACCTTTCCTGTTAAATACTCCTAACCTTACTCTGAAGCCTTTTCTTAGAGCGGTGTTTGGCTTCCACGTTTTGTGGGGGTGGGCTGACGGTGAGCACAGTTTGGGTCTCGGCGTTCCTCCTTCTAAAGCGTGTCTCTGTATTACAGGTGAAGATGCCTTCGACGCTTCCAGTCAATGACTTCCCCCCTGCGACGCCATTGGCTTTCCAGGCCTCCCACACTCACCGCCAGCTCGGTTCGGTCAACCGTTACCCGAATCCCCGCTCCGTTCCCTTTCCATGATCTTCCTGTCACTCTGCCACAAGCCCCTACCAAGGTCATCGCAGGCAGCGTGTGGGATGCGGCGCTCGGTCTCATTGCAGTTCATCCCATGGGCCTCAGCCCAGCGATCCAACCCACCCGCACCCTTCCTGAGGGCCCTTCTGCTCCCAGGCCAATCAACGCTTCCTTCTGATGCCATCTGAGTTCCCTCCAGGCCACTTTCAGACTCATGCCTCTTTGTGGCCATTTTGAGACTTGCGCTGATTTCAGCGTGTGCATTCAATTGGCTTCTTCAACCAAATTGGCTTTAGCTTGACATACAATTAATGTAAAACAAATTGGCTTTAGTTTTACATTCAATTGGCTTCAACCAAATTGGCTTTAGCTTTACATTCAATTGGCTTCAACCAAATTGGCTTTAGTTTTACATTCAATTAATGTAAGCCAAATTGGCTTTAGCTTTGCCTTGGTTACGGGGTTGGGCTAGCCTTGCTTTGTTTGTTCCTAGGCAGGGCTAACCCAACCCCGTAACCAAGGGCCGTCGGAGGCGATTTTGTTCCTTCCCGGCCAGTCTGAGACTCGTGCCCCATTGCGGCCATTTTGAGAGTTGCGCTGATTTCAGCATCTGCATTCAATTTATCTCAACCGAATTGGCTTTAGCCTTGCAATCATTTTGCATCAACCAAATTGGCTTTAGCTTTACATTCAATTGACTTCAACCAAATTGGCTTTAGCTTTACATTCAATTGGCTTCAACCAAATTGACTTTAGCTTTACATTCAATTGGCTTTAGCTTTACATTCAATTAATGTAAGCCAAATTGGCTTTAGCTTTGCCTTGGTTACGGGGTTGGGCTAGCCTTGCTTTGTTTGTTCCTAGGCAGGGCTAACCCAACCCCGTAACCAAGGGCCGTCGGAGGCGATTTTGTTCCTTCCCGGCCAGTCTGAGACTCGCGCCCCGTTGCGGCCATTTTGAGAGTTGCGCTGATTTCAGCATCTGCATTCAATTTATCTCAACCGAATTGGCTTTAGCCTTGCAATCATTTTGCATCAACCAAATTGGCTTTAGCTTTACATTCAATTGACTTCAACCAAATTGGCTTTAGTCTTGCATTCAATTGGCTTCAACCAAATTGGCTTTAGCTTTACATTCAATTGGCTTCAACCAAATTGGCTTTGGCTTTGCATTCAATTGGCTTCAACCAAATTGGCTTTAGCTTTACATTCAATTAATGTAAGCCATATTGGCTTTAGCTTTGCCTTGGTTGCGGGGTTGGGTTAGCTTTGCTTTGTTTGCTCCTAGGCAGGGTTAACCCAACCCCGTAACCAAGGGCCGTCGGAGGTGATTTTGTTCCTTCCCGGCCAGTCTGAGACTCGCGCCCCTTTGTGGCCGTTCTGAGAATTGCAATGTCTTTGGGTGGGCTGAGATCTGCACTGCTTTTGAGGTGGGTTGCAGTATGCAACATTCTCACAAGTGTGGTGTCACTAATGGGGTGTGGAGGCTTTGTACCCTTTCTCTGGTTGGTCTGACATCTATGTGAACCATGTCTTAAAGTGTACTGAATATGCGTGTGCTGTGCCTGTAAATTGCGTCGTGCCATGTATGCAATATGTGTTAAGTTGCGCCTGTAAACTGTGTTGTGCCATGTACGGAATGTGTGGATGCTGCGCCTATAAACTAAGTCTTGGAATCAGAGATCCATATTCATTACATGTTTTGCTTCTCAATGTGTAGTTGCTGGTATAGCGCGTATGTATATGATTGTATGAGTCATGCCTTGCGGAAACAGTGCTGTAATAAACAAACAGTTAAACAATACATGTATGTTGTGTGTCTTGCTTTGTCACGGCAACGACTTGAAGGACACTGGAAGGTAGGTGAGAAAGGTAGGTGCGGAGGGTGGTAGACGGGGGTTAGACTTAGTGGGGGTTAGACTTAGACATAGACATTGGGGTTAGACATAGACTCTGGGGGTTAGACTTAGACACTGGGGGTTAGACTTAGCCTTAGACACTGGGGGTTAGACTTAGACACTGGGAGTTGGACTTAGACTTAGACTCTGGGGGTTAGACTTAGACTCTGGGGGTTAGACTTAGACTCTGGGGGTTAGACTTAGACTTAGACTCTGGGGGTTAGACTTAGACTTAGACTCTGGGGGTTAGACTTAGACACTGGGGTTGGGGTTAGACTTAGACTTAGACACTGGGGTTAGACTTAGACTTAGACTCTGGGGGTTAGACTTAGACACTGGGGTTAAACTTAGACTTAGACACTGGGGGTTAGACTTAGACACTGGGGGTTAGACTTAGACACTGGGGTTAAACTTAGACTTAGACTCTGGGAGTTAGACTTAGACTTAGACTCTGGGGGTTAGACTTAGACTCTGGGGGTTAGACTTAGACTTAGACTCTGGGGGTTAGACTTAGACTCTGGGGGTTAGCCTTAGACACTGGGGGTTAGACTTAGCCTTAGACACTGGGGGTTAGACTTAGACACTGGGAGTTGGACTTAGACTTAGACTCTGGGGGTTAGACTTAGACTCTGGGGGTTAGACTTAGACTTAGACTCTGGGGGTTAGACTTAGACACTGGGGTTAAACTAAGACTTAGACTCTGGGGGTTAGACTTAGACACTGGGGTTAAACTTAGACTTAGACTCTGGGGGTTAGACTTAGACACTGGGGGTTAGACTTAGACTTAGACTCTGGGGGTTAGACTTAGACTCTGGGGGTTAGACTTAGACTTAGACTCTGGGGGTTAGACTTAGACACTGGGGTTAGACTTAGACTTAGACTCTGGGGGTTAGACATAGACACTGGGGTTAAACTAAGACTTAGACTCTGGGGGTTAGACTTAGACACTGGAGGATAGACTTAGACTTAGACTCTGGGGGTTAGACTTAGACTTAGACTCTGGGGGTTAGACTTAGACTCTGGGGGTTAAACTTAGACTTAGACTCTGGGGGTTAGACTTAGACTTAGACTCTGGGGGTTAGACTTAGACTTAGACTCTGGGGGTTAGACTTAGACTCTGGGGGTTAGACTTAGACTTAGACTCTGGGGGTTAGACTTAGACACTGGGGTTAGACTTAGACACTGGGGGTTAGACATAGACTTAGACTCTGGGGGTTAGACTTAGACACTGGGAGTTGGACTTAGACTTAGACTCTGGGGGTTAGACTTAGACTTAGACTCTGGGGGTTAGACTTAGACTCTGGGGGTTAGACTTAGACTTAGACTCTGGGGGTTAGACTTAGACACTGGGGTTAGACTTAGACTTAGACTCTGGGGGTTAGACTTAGACACTGGGGTTAAACTAAGACTTAGACTCTGGGGGTTAGACTTAGACACTGGGGTTAAACTTAGACTTAGACTCTGGGGGTTAGACTTAGACTTAGACTCTGGGGGTTAGACTTAGACACTGGGGTTAAACTAAGACTTAGACTCTGGGGGTTAGACTTAGACACTGGGGT